TTAAAACAACATATTTTAATTTACCAAATTATATTATGAAACACTTGAGAAGGCAAAATAATTTCTGCATACATCCCATTATTGTCTTGAACAAACAATACATGACTAAAAAAGAGAGAAAAAATCTAATACTATGAATTTTGATGTGTATAAAATGTCACTTATAACATCAGTAAAGGTATAAGAAAACAACATCTATTAATGAAAAAGATCTATTAAACAGAAAATTTTTTTTAAATGATCAATTAAAATTATTATTTTTTAAAATACAGAACATTCATTCAATTCAGATTCTACTTCTTGCTTTTCTAGTAATTTTTGATTAATTTTTATTAGTATAAAATATATATATATATATATATATATATATATATATATTTATATATATATTTATACATATATATATTTATATATATAAACAGTAATTTTTAATGCTTTAGCTTATAGAAGTACCAGCAAGTGTGCATTGCACACTTTGACAGTCTTTTCATGTTTTATTGAAGTTTTCTTCAACTTATTTTAATTTGCCCAAGTTTTTCACTTATGCAATCTATCATAAATGTTTTTGAATTTGGTTCAAATATTTTGTGTTGCTAATATAAAATTATATATACGAATTAATTGACTTTTATAATAGATTACATTTACATCTAATAAATAAGTGGTAAAATAAGTGGGGGGATTAATTGACTTTCATATTAGATTTATATTATAAAATTAATTGACTTTTATAATAGATTACATTTACATCTAATAAATAAGTGGTAAAATAAGTGGGGGGATTAATTGACTTTCATATTAGATTTATATTATAAAATTAATTGACTTTTATAATAGATTACATTTACATCTAATAAATAAGTGGTAAAATAAGTGGGGGGATTAATTGACTTTTATATTAGATTTATATTATAAAATTAATTGACTTTTATAACAGATTATATTTACATCTAATAAATAAGTGATAAAATAAGTGGGGGGAGAGGGGGAGGGATGCCTACTAACTTCAATAATTTTAAATGTAGAATAGTTTTGCTTTTTTTTTTTTTTTTTCAAAAATTTTATTAGCACAGTTTACTAGATTTTAGCAATGTTTCTAATCTTCTTTAGGCACTTATTAAGTACCAATACCAAAAATTTTACTTACCTACCTACTTGTATTTAACAATTTTTATATTTAAAGAGAACATTGCTTTTTATGTTGTTTTTAATATAGCTTAGTTGAGTTGTTCTATACTTTTGACTTAATATAAAATAAAATAAAAACAGACTGTTGAACTATGAGAATGTTAATTTTTTTTGTCTATGTTAATTCACCTCCTCAAGGCCAAGAAGGCCACTATAGACAATAAGGCTACTTTATTGTGGTTATAACCTTCTCTCAATTCTATAAATCCGAAACACGAACAAGACCGCTACATTAAGAAACATGTTGACCTTGGTACTACCAGGGATTTGGTGGGTATCGAACTCGGAACCTCTCACTTATGAAGCGAGCGCTCTACCACTACACCACTACCGCATATAATATAAAGAGTTTTACAGTGTTTTGTGCATACCAATATACAGCATTTTAAAGTAATTTGTTTTTGAAGAATTGACAACTTCTTTATTTTCATTTTTATATAGTCTGTTTAGGTAGGTTTTTAAAACACAATCAATTAGTTAAATCGGGTAAAGGTTTTTTTAGAGAATATGTTTAAGTTTAACTAAATCAGAATGTAAATTAGGCCATTTGTTATTAGTTTTATAAATCCTATTTATTAAGGTTTTTATCATGCCAATTTTGTATGAAATATCGGTTAAACTTAAGTAATTTGTTAATAGTTCTGAGAAAGTCTTTTTTCTAAATATGCTTTTAGTTAAGTTATATTTGTTGTCAATAAGAATATCTAAAAAAGCTAATTGTTGATTTATCTCTTTTTCCATGGTAAATTTAATATTTTTGTGTTGATAATTCATATAATTAACAAATTTTAAAGAAAATTTGTTAATTATATGAATAATTTCAAAATTATTAAAAAAAAAACTTGTACTTGTTACCTCAAAAAATCATTTTTTATTTAATAACAAATATTATGAGCAATGCGACAATGTAGCTATGGGGTCCCCTCTTGCTCAAATATTAGCTAATTTATTTATGAATCATATAAAAAAATTAAGTTTAATAAACTACACAGATATGCCATAAGTGTTTTAAAAGTATGTTACTTAGAAGTTTAAGTTTTAAAATTTGACTTTGTAATATAACCCAATTGTCAGAAGGTGCATAAGTAAATAATTTTATTAACAAACACAGGTGTTTCTGTGTTTAAGAGGGTGTTTTTTTTTTCAAGTTCAGTATCCCTTCCTCCTTTTAAAAAGTTTTAATTTAGAAAAAATTGTATAAATTAAGAAATATTTTATAAATTAGATTGTGTGTCTTTTAAATTTGGTCATACCCCTTCTCCACCGTTCATTACTTTATTGAACACTTTTGCATCCCTCCTCCTCCTAATCTTCCTTAAATACTTTATACAAACCCAAAGCCCTTAGTTTTGGCACAGGAGCCTAACTTTGAAGACATATATGTCTTAATAATACATATATAAATATATATGTATATATATAATACATATATAAATATATACGTATATATATATATATATATATATATATATATATATATATATATATATATATATATATATATATATATATATATATATATATATATATATATATATATATATATGTATATATTTTCATAACATCATAACATTTGTTAATAAAAAAAATATATTTTCATAACATCATAACATTTGTTAATAAATCCATCTGTGATAAATAGAATTGATAACCCTAGATATTATAAACTTCCATTTATAGGATTTTACTCAAATTTTACTAAATCTAAAATTAATAAAATCATTAAAAAATATTGTAAAGATGTTATGATTAATTTAATTTTCACTTCCAACAAACTACATAACGGTTTATGTATAAAAGATCCACTTCCTAAGCTGCTTAAACCCAATGTTGTTTACAAATTTTCTTGTGCTGGATGTAATGCCAGTTATATTGGAGAAACCTCCAGACACTTAACAACAAGGATTTATGAGCATCTTATAAGTGACAAACAATCTAATGTTTATAAGCATTTAATTTCATCTGTTGATTGTAAAAATCTAAGTAACTGTAATTGTTTTAAAATTTTGGATACTGCTCCTAACAAAAGCAAATTGAAAATTAAAGAAGCACTCCATATTAAATGGGAAAACCCATCTTTAAATAAACAAACTGTTCATTATAATATAAATTTACCAATCTAGTTGTTTTTGTTTTTGTTTTTTTTTTGTGTGTGTGTTTTTTTTTTGTTTTGTTTTTAATGCTATTACGGTATAATAATTTGTATTATAATTTTTATTGGTTTATAACAATTCTATTTATCTGTTAATATTTCTCTGTAATGTCTTCAAATTTTGAATTTATATTTAAATCCAGAGTTTTAAATTGTAATTTTATCTTTTGAAAATGTAGTATGTTAATTATGAAACATGAGAGAGGGTTGTACCACAATTTACAAAAAAAAAAAAAAAAGAGTAGCCTCCTCGACAGTAGTGGCCCCCTCAGGCCTTGGGGAGGTGAATAATTAAAAAAAAAATGTCAAGATTAAAAAATATTTTTTTTTTCTTTAAAATATGTTTACATTTATTGCTATTACATTGCTCAAGAAATATATATATATATATATATATATATATATATATATATATATATATATATATATATATATATATATATATACACATATATATATATACATATATACACATATATATATATATACATACAACTATTTATGCAATGGTTTACTTAAACAAATTTACATATATAATTATTTACAAATTTTAATTTTACAAACATAATTTTGGACAGTTTTTTTATCTTCCATCAGTTTACATAAATTTGGGTGTTTTCTTAATTTTTTCAAAATTTATGTTTGTGTATTTGTACAACAAGCAAACTTAAAACACCACAAATGATTACATTACATTTTTAATTTCTTACATAAATAACTATTTTTTTAGTTTTTTGATTGCAATTCATTTTTAATTTTTAAAAGTTTGAATTAAAATTGGTATTGATAATTGAGTCATGCCTCCTAAAAATAAGCCAATGTGCCAATTCATTTTTAAATTTTTTAGGTCAAAATTAATACTGTTGTTAATAATTGAGTCATGCGTTCTAATTAATAAGCCAATATGATAATAACTTGATACTACAATAAAACTTTAAATGTTATATACTAAAATATACTCAAATTTTTCCTGTAACACTTAATTAATTGGTTCGAATGTTTTGAAAACTTATAACTTATTTTTAAATTAATTATATATGATACCATTTAATTTTGAAACATTTCCTATATACCCAAAATATGGTAATGAAACCAATTGTGAAAAAAATGAAACAATCATTCGTAAACTTTTATTATTTGCTATAAAAAAAATCAGGAGAATCTAAAAACTTAAATATTTATTTTAGGTAATTTGTATTTTAACAAAATTGTAAAATAAATTTACCAGATTTCTTCTTTTTTCTGCTGACATAGTCTTTGAACAAAAGTGTCTTTGTTATATTGTAGCTTTAAAACTACTCTTTTGAAAACTCTCTGTATTCTCGCAGTAAATGAAATAAAATCATTATTTTGTTTGATAGCATAATTAATTGAGGAGTGTGTTACATTTTTCTTAGATACTGTTTTTGAAGCAACATATGTGTCATAATCATCATAGCTCTAAAATTATTAATAAAATCAAATAAGAAAATTTTTTAAATAGTTTACAAATAATTTAAAGATTTGAGAATAAACAGAAAGGACAAACTTGATGGAGTGAATTACTCATTAACTGTTCATTTGAAAATATTAGCAAATCTAAAACAAAAGCAAAATAGTATTAAACAGACTTTATTAAAAAAAGTATTAAATAAACTTTATTTGTATATATCCTTGATGGATTTAATTTTATTATACAAGTAACTTTTTTTTAGTTAAATGAGTTTTTGAACACCAATTTCAATCTATGATGGAGAGTTTTAATTATTTTTTTTTTCTTATTTCTTTTTATTTTATTTTCTTATTATTTTAGCTTATTTCATGAATACAGAGTGAAAACTCTAAACAGCTTATTTCATGAATACAGCGTGAAAACTGATTTTTTAACTAAGAAGCACCAAAAAGTCGTAGATCTGTCAAAAAAAAAGTTGGGAAATGTCATAGAAAGCCAGTTTCAAATAAGAAGTAAAAAAATAATGCAAATGCGAGTGTTACAAACATATATATAATAAATAAACAAAGCAAGATAAAAGAAAACTTTTAAAAGCTGCAGATATATAATAAATAAACACAATAAATAAAGAGACTAAGAAGCATGCCGAAAACAAAATACAAAAAGACATATGTCTTTGCCATGTACAAATCAACACAAAGGAAAACGACTGTAAAAAGAAACGACTTTATATATTTATATTACAGTTTTGCATCTTGTCTAAAAAAAGAAATTATTAAAAGATATAACCAAGCTATGCAATTAATATTACATAAAAAGAAGGATACAAGAGTAATGGTGGAAAACAGATATAAAATAAATGGGCTTTGATAGTTCTATATTTTAACACAAAGTTATTGGAGTTCGATATTGCTACACTCTAATAAAAATAAAGTTGCTTTAAAAAAGCAAATTTTGACTGTCTTTAATTAATATGCACAAAATAAGCGAGCCAATAAAAGCATTAGGGTTGATGTCTAAAATTTGTTAAAATTACTTCAAAATGCTGGTTTTTGTTTTAGCAGAGTTTTTACAATAAATAAACTTTTTTAATTCTTTTAAAGCAAACCACATGTTTATGACACTGAACAATATAATCATATAAAAAAATTTTACTTACAATATATACTTACAATATTACTTACAATATATATAGGCATGTGGACTACAGTGACAAAGGTGTGCATTTGATTAATTAAAATCAATTTTGCAGGTATTTCGTCTGCTCTGATGTGCTAGCCCATAAGCGCAAGAAGTAAGTGTGTTTAGTTTCTATTCACCCGATTTGAAAGTGAACAAAGACATAATGAGACCATATCAGGCAACCAAAGGGAACTTACTAATGCACCACAGCATCACATCTGTAGACATAAGCTATCTCTAATATCAGTAAATCAAAAATTTGTTCTTTGTTGCATATGATCAATCTACAAAATGACTAGAGTGTTACTTGTTTCTCCCTTCCCCCTGAGCATTTATACTTGGTATTACTTTACAAGAGCCTTAATACTCATTTAATATTTTCTTATAGCATTTACTTTTTATTTAAAGACACCATCTACAAACTGTTTTTATTATCACATCTCCCAGATCTATGTAACTGGATTATTCCATTGGTCACTTTTTGTGATTATTTTGTGATTATTGTGTAAACAATTAAAGGATAGCATCAAAAATATTATCACTTATCATAATAAGAATCTAATATTCATGATAATGTAATCAATATAATTATATAACAATTATAATTTAATACTAATTATAATATATAAATAAAAAAAATAAAAACCTAATACTAATACTTATATTTAATACTCCTTAATATAGTTATGCAATTGCTGACAAACCACCTCATGCCCATGCCAAAGCATTCAAAAATTAGACATTTTGATTGCTTGGGCATGAAGCATTTGCAATGTAAAAACTTACCATACAAAAGGGATGTTTTTACTTAGGGCATACAGAGAAAACTTTCAATAATAAATGGTTATAAACATAAAAACTCCTCTTTTTATGAAAAAAAAGTCAACTCTTCTGAATTTTATAATGAACTTTAAGAAATCCAAAATAAGGGTTCAGAGCTTATCCTAACATAAAATATTCTTAACCAAGCAGAGCTATTTAAACCTGTTCTTATATCATCAAAGAAATATAAAACTTTAGTTTTATAGCAAAGACTCCGTAGCATTTTTTGTATACAACTTTTTTGTTGCTACATTTTTTTGTTATGGTTATAAGATCTGATGATAGCGATTGTGCGAAACTTTATGATATCTAACTAGTTAATGAAAAAAATGATTGCTGCCCCAACCCAAACCCTTAGTTGATGTAGCAGCATTTATATATATATATATATATATATATATATATATATATATATATATATATATATATATATATATATATATATATATATATATATATATATATATATATATATATATGTATATATATATATATATACATATATATATATATATATATATATATATATATATATATATATATATATATATATATATATATATATATATATATATGTATGTATATATATATATATATATATATATATATATATATATATATATATATATATATATATATATATATATATATATTGACAATATTTTAAATAGAAAATATGAAACACCTGATGCAGCCTTGGTTTTTGAAACTGGATAGTTTGGAAGAATATTAACTTTATATGCGCTTAATAGGACTACTTTCCCAAAATCTTTACAAAATATTCTTTTCCTATAAAATAAAAAAAATTGCAAACCATTTAATCACAAACCACAAACCAATTAATAATAAACCTTTCAAGACAATATTTAACATGTGTTGATAACTACACAAATAACAAACATTACTAGCAGTCTGGACCCATAAAATATGTGTCTTGGTAAGTCTTGGTAATTCTACACCGACTATTTCTATACTTATTACTTACTTTAGACTTTGTTTTTACTAGTTAAACCATTTAAGATAAGTGGTAAGCCATTTCAGTCAAACTACTATTTATCAACATTTACCATTTAAACAAGTCTTTAAATATTGTTCAAGCAGTAAGTAAAAATAATTAATAAATTTTATGAAAACTACTTATGAAGTTTGAATGACAATTGCATAAAAATGCTTGAATGACAATTTGATACTTTTTAATTCCAAATCCGGATTTTGGAATTTCAGAATTTATTTGTTTTTATTAAATTTAAAATTCAAGAGTAGAAAGAAACCGAATTCAAGATTATTTGGATTTTTATATTGTTAACTTTTTTCGAATTCAAATTTTTTTGGTTGTTGCGCTTAAAAACAAAAACCAATCCGAAAAGCAAAAAACAGTAACACATTTTGTTTTCATTGAAACTAAAGCGAAAAAATTTTATTGCAAAATTGTGAACACGCAGGTTACGTGAGTTTATAATAGTTTTAACAATATTTATTATATAACATTTACTATATAAGCCAAGTTTTATCTTTAATGTAGAATATATTTATTATGTATACTTAATGTCGGATTAGCAAGAAGAAATTTTTTTAGATGTATCCAATTAGAACTCATCAAGTTTGGTGTGGAATTATTTTTTATGAGGGACAAAAAATCAACTGGCAAAGTACATACAGTGTAAGCAGATTTTAAAGTTATTGGGTGGAGGTACAACCATACCCATTTGCGAGCAAAGCACAATAAAGTATGAAACAAACAAAATATTGATAATGATTCAAGTGTTGCTGGTGAGTGTGAGTGCTGTTAATTTAAACAGAAAAAGCAAAACTTTAAAAAATATTTATAAATCAAAAGTAGACAAAAGTTTTCCTGAAGTAATATGTAGAATGGTCGCCTCAAACAAATTATCATTTCATATTTTTTGTACTTCAGATGGTTTAAGAAAATGTTTAATAATGCACAGGCTAAGGGTTGTGTAAAGTTGTTGGAAAAGAAGCTTGAAACTTGCCGAATAAATATTCAAAATGATATTTTGTGCGTTATGATTGACAGTGGTACAACGATGCAAAAAGTGTGTAGATTGCAACCATTAAAACAAATTTTATGTTTTGCGTATGCAATTCAAATCGCTAAAGTGAACATATTCTATAAAAAACAAACTGAAGGAGAGGAAGAAGAAAATAATAGTGAAAGTGATATAAATCTTGAATCTGATGAAGAAAATCTTTTTGATGATGAGAATGCGGGTAGACATGGGAAATGAAACTGATGATATAAAAACCACTCAAAATTTTCAGCTACGTATCGAAAAATATGTACATACTAAGAAGCTTTTTTAAAATCAGAATTAAAAAAATGTTTTTATATATATATTTTTTTAAATGTTTTTTATTTTTCTCATTGAATTTGTTTTGTTTATTCTATTTTTTCATTAAATTTGTTTTGTTTTACTAAAATATTTAAAAAAATGTTATTTTTTATTAATTTGAAATACTTTGAAACTTTTTTGTTTCTATAAAATATTTTTTGCAATTCTGAATTATGGAAATTCTGAATTTTCTTTCATGTAATTCTAAAAAATATTTTTCAATAAAAATTGGATTTACTACTATTAATGTAATTTGATATTAATATTAAATTACATTTGATATTAGCGATATTTACAAATGTAATAAATTAATAAAAAGCAAAGAAATTTTTATTTTTATTAACCTAATTTTTCTATCAAAATGTTCAGCAAAAGAAAAGAAAAAAAGTTATATAACGGGTAAAAAAAAAATCATAAAAAATATCTAATTAAAAAAAAAAAAATTTATTTTTATTTAATTTTAAAATATTTATTTAAAAAAAAAAAATTTTCTTTCAAGCGCAATAATATTTATTAAGACAATTATGTAATGTTAAAACATATTGACACATGTATCAAGTTTTACAGTTTGACTTTCACTTGAAAACTTCATTGCGGCAACATCTGCTTAATTTTGCTAAAAAAAAATTATAATATAGCTTTGAAAATTTTGCCAAAATGGCCAAGTGGATATCGCGCAGAGCTTCTGAATGAAAAAGACTCCTACTATTGGTGACTTTTTATACTTATGTTAATATTTGTTGCGTATGTGTCATGATGGAGATACTTATGTTAATAATGTGCTCAGGTAATTAGTCCTAATAAGCTGCTAATGGTCTGAAAAAAAATTGTCAGAAGCTTAAGAAAAAACTTGATAAGAAAATCCTGCTTCTCCAGAAGGTGTTGTCATGGAGGCAAAAAAAAAAAAACACATAGCTAGAAAAAACTTTAAAACTTTCTTTTGACAATTAAAAACTTTTTTTGCTACATTTATTTTTTTGGTATAAATTTTTGCTGAAGCCATTTTTCAAAACACCTTAATTTGCTAATTGCATATTTTTAAACTTTTTGAAATTTTGAAACTAATAATTTTTATGAGTTTTTTAAGAACTCTTTGAAAATATGTACTCAATAACGTTTGTAGACATCTAAACTAGCTTATTTTGTAAAAAAGTCAAAATTGTTTTTTTTTACCTTAAGGCGTTTTGAAAAATCAGCTGCAGTATGGATGATACAACGAATATGTTAAAATGAGATAATTATACACAAAAATTTAAAAGATCTTAAGAAAAGCCAATAACCAAGTTATTGCAGTTCAGTGCTTACTTAAATTTCAGTATATTGGTGTTTGCAAACAAACATAATATAAATTATTTTTTAATAAAAACTAATTTTTTTTTTAACTTTGTTGCGCTTAACCATCCCTATATAAACAATATATATAAACAAATATGTTATTTGTTTATGTTGTTTATAAAATGTAAAAAATCCACTTGTACAACGTTTTATTCAGGATCGTATGTAATATAAGTAAACTTTTCTATTAAAAACAAGTATTTGTTGCTCAAGCTGTTTTGTATGTATGTTATTATATTTAAAAAAATTGAAAAGATTGAAGAAAAAAAAAACATATTGTCTCATCCAAGTGGAAATTTTGAAACTTCAATTTTAGATTTGCCTCTCTCTTGATAATTTCTGATTGCTAAAATTACGTCATCAGCTTCTTAGACCATTAAAAATAATAGATGCAGCTTTTTTGTAAATCATTGAAGCCACATTTTTTTTTGCAAATGCGACGTCACTTTGTGGTAAAAAAAACTAACAAAACAAACTAGAAAGAAGATTTTATTTAAATTTTTTAAGAAAACACCTTCTGTTAAATATATAAGAAATATATTTTCATGGGATTTATTCTAATATAGTCAAAAACTATCTATTTATTACTAATGTAATAAATACAAAATCTTATCCGTAAAATGATATATCTGTACCAGATTTATATCTTTTTGTGTATTTTTATGCAACATAATTAAAATAAATAAAAAAAAGAAAGATAAATGCAAAAGGAAACTTGACGCATAAAAGTTTATTTTGCCACAAATTGATGTCAAAGCGCAAAATTTTTTTGGATTAGCGTTTAATAGCTGAGGCTATTATTCTTTAGTTTTTAATTATAATCATAAAAATCAATTTTTTTTTATGACTATGTTTTACTGGTCTAAGATCTTCTAAGTTCCGTTTGTATAGCGTTATGTACAAACGTCTGTAAGCATAAACAACTTTGGCATATGTTGAGTTTGCAGGCATCATATGGAATAATCGCATATAATATATCTACAAATTAAAAAATATTCAAAATTTTAGATATCTTTTTTGTCATTTTTTTTTTTTTTTCTATAAATATATAAGCAAAATTATTTTACTAAAAAAAAATTGAAGTAAAAAAGGAATAGGTATATAAATATTCATAGTGGAATAGATATGTATAGAGATAATAGATTTGGTAAAGACATATACTTTACGGATTCGGAAAGCTAGGTTATATAAGGAAAAGGTATAGAAAAGTTCCGTTTGGAAAAGACTTACAAAGACCCATATTTTTACGGGTCCGATCTCAGCTAGTATTATAGGATTACACTTATTTATACTCCATGTACACCAAACCTGTATTTTAATGATACCGATTTTAATAAAACAACATTTCAAGGTTGTTTTAACAAAGCACTAAGATTTAGTTTATTAAAACTTTAAATTTAGTGGAATGAAATATAAGACATATTCAAAATTCTGCCATTAAAACTTGTTTTATTGTCAGTGTAAACTAATAACATAAAAGTGTTAGAACATATTCCTAAAGTAATATACTTAGCATATTTATTAAAGTAACCTAAAAAAGTAATGTTTTAAAAAAGTAACTTACATACTAAAGAAGCAAGTAAACTACAAAAAAAAAACACAAGAGTAAATAGGTTAAACTTACCACGGTGGAGTTATTTTTAATGTTACTTTACTCTTAATTTTTAGATAACTTGCAGTCACTTCTGGCATAACCAAATAAACTTCTGTTGAATCAAAAAGCTGACAGATTATTATCCGTACTGAACTAACTGACTTGTTGTTCAATACATGCATATAAATCACCTGTTCGGAATCAACCTCTAGAAAAAGCATTCATGAAAAATGCAATACAAGAACTTTTTTTAACATGTATTTTGCAATCATTTATTTTGCTTCCTAAACATACTTTTAATTTGTCATTTCAAATAAATTGTAATCAAGTTTTAGACTTTGCAATCTAAAATTTAAGGATAATAAAACAATAATGAACATTTCCTACTTTTTCCTGAATCATGTTTCCAAAATGCAAGATCTGACTTTTCCCTTGATACTATCTTTTGTAACCTTTCAGCAAGACCTCCTCTGTCATTAAAATTGATTTACAAATTTTAATTTAATAAAAAAAATTATATTGAATTTATTGTAACAGACTAAAATTTTACTTGATAACTTTCTTCTTCTTTTTTAATAATACAGATTCATTCAATGACTCGTCAACCTTACAAACATTTTGAGAAGTTTTATTTGAAACAACTTCATTATTAGTAGATTGAGAAGGTGTGAGGACATCAATTAGTTCTTCAGAAATCTATAATTTATTACTTAGGTAATGTTAAAACTATCAAAAAAATATAAAAGTTGTTAAATATTGGTGATTTTAATATGAAATTTATTTATATTATTATACTATATCCTGTTATTATATTATATTATATTATTATATTATATTCTTAATCTTTATATCCATACTCATAAACCTCTATATAAATTTTTAAATAAATTTATAGATATATAAATAGTTATCTAAACACTCATAAACCTCTGTATGTGTACACACACATGCAGTAGTGTACCAATGTTTAGAAATACTTTACTATTCACAAACTTTCTTAATTATAGTTTTTACCAAGTATGCTTTATTTTATTTTGATTCCAAATACAAACCACAAAAATTGCAAAATTTTTGCAGTTTGTATTTTCAGGCAAAATTTTAAAGCTCGCAAAATTTGTATGAGCAGATATTCGCCGATAAACTGTGCGCATATATTTGCATAATTATGCGAATTATGAAAAGCTATCAATATTTTTAAAGATGAAGACAGCGGTTCGGCTACGAGGACAGGTAGCTTCATAAGTTAAAGACCTAATGGCTATTGTAGCTAGCGTCATATCTTAATAAAATTACTGTCTAAAAAATTATATGTAGCTATCAACCACCTATAGATTGTAGATACTTTGTAGCTAGTTACAAAGCTACGATATGCAGCTAGCGACACATTGCTACAAAATGGTAATGTTTAAAGTTCAATTATCGTCATAATTATAATAGACTCAATACTAAAAATTGAATTTTTAAAGAAGTTAAAGATATTGGAAAAAAATAAATTAAGAAAATAAATCGCTTGAAAATTGCTATAAAGCTAGCTAGTTTCTAGCTCATTTCACACCGGGTTTGGAACAAAAAAAAATCATCAGCTTAAACAGTGGAATTAAAAGTTAACAACTTTCAATTCCACTATTAAATCTCTTTAATTAATGCACTTTTATAATTCATAACTTGTTATAATTCATAAGTTGTTAATTATAAAAGTGCTTTAACTTAAAAAACTGAAAAATTTATAGTTTAAGAACTGCTACTTTCTCTAAAATGTAGTCATTTTTGTTGTTTGTATCCATCAAAACACTATTGGCATATATGAAAACTGTTCAGTTTTTAAAGTTGTCCAGATAAAAATAAAAGCTTTATTGTAAATCATTTTCGAATGGAGAACATACAAAAATCTATTATTTATAATATACTTTAAAGAAAAGAGAATAATATAGGACCAGAAAAAAAAGTTGAAAGTGGTCACAAAGCAAAAAAAGATGTCTGCAAAAGATATCAGGCGTCTTAAAAAATCGATTGATCGAAAGGATGGTATTTCAAAGCGCGGTCTTGCAAAACGATACCATGTATTACAACCATATATATGCAAAATTATTCGCATAAAAACTAGTACTTGTTATCTTAAAAAAACTAAACACCTAAAAAAGCATCAACTCAAAAAGCAGCTGTTTGTTCAAAAAGCCATAGATTGGTTTTGATTTTTAGGAAAAAAGTAGTTATTTTTGACGATGAATCGTATTTTTATTTGAGCAACATTAATATTTCCGGAAATTTTCCGGATTCTAATCTTCTGACATAAATACAGCATCAAATAATGTAGAGTTAAAAGGAAAAGACAAATTTGAGCTAAAATTACTTATTTGGATTGCGTTCTCAACGAAAGGAATCTCTCAGCAGTATATTGCTCCGTCAGGCCAAGCAGTCAATGAAGATGTGTATATATCAAAATGTCTAGTTAGATTAGAGAAATTCATTGAAAAACATCATAAAAATGGCAATATTGTCTTTTGGCTTGATCTAGCTTCGTCACTTTATTCATGTTAAGTGCAAGGTTATCTAAAAATTAAAAATATTAAATTTGTACCGAAAGAGCATAACCCTGCTAATGTGCCAGAACTACGTCCAATGGGGGATTTTTGGTCTGAACTTTAGAGATTAGTGTATAATAAAAACTGGCAAGCTGAATCTTGGTATATTAAAATCTTGGAAATCTTGGTAAACTTAAACAGCGGATCTAGTTTTCAATTAAGAAAATCAACATAGAACATGTACATTGGCTAGCTGCCGCAACATTTACAAGATTAGACACTGTTTATCATCATTTTACTATTTAGACATTTTTTGTTATTATACCTTTTAAATTAAATTATTAAAATTGATCCGTTAAAAAGTTATACAACTTCTAATTTTGTCCATATTTTTAGTTATTACATGTTAGTTCACTTATTTTGAGATATTTCAAAAGCATTGAGGTATAACTATATACCCAAGCATTTGTAAAATTTTATAATTCAATTGCTTAGTAATATTTTAAAAGCATGAGGAAGGATAAGGAAGTTTTGGATGAAGTAATAAAATTAATTATAAAAGCTGCAGGAAAAAAATGACTTGCAGAAAGATTTCTAAACTTTACAATGTTTTTAAGCCATTAATAAATCACATTATGAAAAGATTTTACCAGCGCTAAACTATTGAAAGCAAGCCTTGCTCTGGAAGACCTAAAGTTACAACTGAAAAGCTGATAGATTGATAGCTTTTGAGATTATTAGCAAGATATTTCAAGAAAAATCTATGCCGCAGTTGTCAAACTTAATTCAATTATGCATCAGTTTCATGGGACAAACTGTAGCATCTATACATCTAAACACAAATTATGACAAAGTAATTTGTATAGTTGCTGTTCCAGTTAAGAAATCGCTGATATCTGCAAGAAAATTAAAAGCCATAACAAACTTTGAGAAAAATTATCTTAGTTGGAATTAAATTTTTAAAAGATTAACTTGGTTAATGACTGGTCAAAAGTCCTTTTCTCTGATGAATTGAAATTTAAGCTATTTAGTAGTGATGAAAATAGGTGTTGTGAGATGTCCATTAGGAGACAGACTTAACCCAAAATATCAGTAACCTACTGTTAAATATGGAAATAGAAATGTAATGGTTTGGGTGTTTTAGCCATGACAATGAGAGTTCCAATGATTGCATAGAAATTACTACAAACTAGAGAGTTTATTTAGATACCACAAAGAATGTTATGCTGCTACATTTAAACAATGATTTGTGAATGGATATTACAGCAAGATAATGATCCAAAGCATTCTGCCAGATCTGATAAGGAATATTTTAAATAACAAAAAGTCAAAGTTCTTGAATGGCCTTTGCAGAGCCAGATTCTATTGAGCATCTTTAGAAGTACATTGACCAGCAATTATATGGTAAAAATTCAACCAACACTCAGGATGTTCCTATTCATTTAGCTGATTTGATGCCTTGTGGCTGTGATGCTTTTTTAAAGGCAAACAATTAAGACATCAGACACTGTTAAAAATAAATAAAAACTATATTGAAAGATAATTATAATTTTGTAAATTTAAAAACTATATTGAAAGATAATTATAATTTTGTAAATTTTAGTAAAAACTTACAAAATTATATTTAGCTCATGAAATGTAATTAGAAATGAGTTTCTAAACTTTAGTTTAGTTTAGAAAAAAAGTTCGAAAACAAAAATTAAACCTTTGCAAGAAAGTCTTTTCAAAAAAAAAACAATTAAATTTTAAGTAACCGTTAATCTTTACAAATGTTGTGGTTTATATTTCGAATTAAAATCAAATAAAGCACATTTGGTGAAAATTTTAGCTTTTTGAGAAAATTTGTATAAAGTTATGCATTAAAATTTGAGAAAAAGTTAGTGTTTCTCAGCTTTTGCATGCTACTGTAGATGTGTGTAGGTCTGCAGAATACTAAATGAGTTAAACTCTGCAGAGTTAAATTTTTGAAATCAAAATCTAAATTCAGAGTTTTTGGAAATTAAGAAAAAAAAAAAAAATTCATAACAATTCACTTTCACACGTGCCTTCCTAACCTCAAACCCTTAGTCGATACACATGGAAAAGCCACAAATTAACACAGTTTTACCATGACATTACCAGTGGCAATATGAGCACACAAAATATATACCATGAGCACACAAAATGTATATCTACTACTATGAATTTAGCTTAGTATGGTACTAATATATTGTTCATTTTAATTTTAAAAATACAGATTTTATTTAAAAACAAATTAAAACTAATAAAACACTGGCAATACGGTTTTATTGAACTCAATTGATTCATTAAACTCTTCAACAACAATTTTATTTAGCTTTTCTGTTGAAGTAATAATTTCATTGAATTCATCTATTGATTCATTTAACTCATCAACAATAGTGTTATCTAGATTCTCCGCTGAACTAACAACTTCATTGAATTCATCTATTAAAATATCACTTTCAGAAGTAGAATTTAGCTCTCTCTGGTTTTTTTTGAATTCTGTAATAAGAAAATTAAAATATTTTCAGCATTAAAAAAATATTTATATAATAATAAAAAAATATATAAAGTTTAAAAAACATAAAATTTCAAAATTTAATTTACCAATGATCTTATCATCCACATTTATAACTTTTTCAACTATTTTCTAAAAAATTTTTAAAATGTTAAAATTAACAGAAATTATATTTTGTTTAAAAGCTGATATAATAAAGTAAATTCAAAAGAAAAATCACTTGATTTAATTAAAAGTAAATTTGATATAGATGTATAAGCTTTGGTTTTTAAATTCCCTTAATAAATGAAGTAATAATTAAGTAATAAATATAAAAACACAAAGTATTAAAAACATACCAAAAGTTTCTTCTCTTTTCTTTTTTTATGAAATTAAAAAAAAAAAGAAGTTAATTGCTGAAAATAAATTAATATTAAAAAAAAACTCAAAATATTGATTTTCTAATTTAAATTAATTCAAAATCACAAAATACACAACAATATTTGGTATTAAAACACATTATACAAAAAATTTAGTTTACTGTATAGATATAGTAATATAAATAGTATTTTGCCCAGACAACAACAACAACAAAAAAAGCTGAAATTAAAGGCATTCTTGGTGTTGACAAATTCTGAAAGATTGTTATGTTGAATTTTATTTGTCAGAACCTATTATGAGTTTAAATCTGTAAGGAGTTGGTAATAACTTTCACAAGCCTTAACAAACCAATAAACAATCCATCGAAAGAATAAAAATAAAATATAAAACAGCTAGACTCAAATGTAAAATAAGATTTTGTTATCATTTTTGCTATTGTGATCCAATAATGGTAAAGAAAATTTACCAATAAGAAAAAAAGAAAACTTCAATTTGCTTTTTGGAAATGAAAAAAATTTTAACTCTCAAAACTACAATAATATAAAATTTAACAGACAAGAAACATTTTACAACATGTGGGTTAAGAGACTTAGTGATCCAAATTTGACATCATTATGGGAAGTTTTGACGGGGCAGAGCTGTGCAAGCTTGTTGGACTCTATATCCTGCACACTTTAAGCAACATATATGGATTGCAGTCTAATGGATTGTATAGAGATGATGGTTTGTTCTGTTTTCATAAGATCAGTGGACCAGAATCAGAAAAAATAAAGAAAAATCTTGTCTACCTTTTTAAGGATAAATTCAATCTATACTTAACAGTAAAATCAAACTTAAAGATTGTAAATTTTTTAGATGTTATGTTTAATTTAACAGATTGTTCTTTTCCACCATACAGAAAACCAGGTGACCACCCACTGTACATTAACTTTAATTCTAACCTCCCTCCTAATATTATCAAATCCATACCAACAATGTTATCCAAACGAATTAGCAATATTTCATCCAACAAAGGCTTTTTTGACAAAGCTGCACCTTTTTATGATAACGCCCTGCCGTCTAATGGTTATCAAGAAACAATCTGTTATAAACCAAATCATAACGCAATAAAATCAAAATCAAGATCATGTAACATTTTATGGTTTACCCCTCCTTTTACACTTAACGTAAGAACAAATGTTGCAAGAAACAAGTTAACATTTATATTTAAAAATATAGAATGCTAAGCATTTCATATTTTAATCCAATCAAAACATACATTTCACATTTTAATTCAATTGTAACATATTCCATATTTCATTCTCGTGAACTTGAATTAGGCATTTTGATTGATTTAAAATACATTTATAATCTGTTTTAAAAGTTGTTTCTTAAAAATTACATTTTCTAAACAACATTAATAACAATTTTATAATTATCAAATTTTATCATCATTATTATCATAACATATTTTATCACAAAACAGCAAAAAAATAATAAAAAATTGCTTTATTTTAACTTTTTTGGATAAATTTGGTGCCAATATAAAACTTTTTTAAATTGAGTAAGGGCCAAAATTTAGGGTCCATACTGGTATATTGCTGCATATACATAAGAAAGTAATTAAGTATGTAATTATTTAATAATATATCTAACATTGTATATCAAAAGAGTGGCGAATCCAGGTCATAGTCCTAGGGGGTATTTTTTTCAAACAAAAGAAAATCAGCTTTTTTTTTTCCAGATAAACCACCTTTTAATTTGATTATTTAGAATGTTTTTAGAAAAGTTTGCTAATAAATATATTGAATCTATCTGTGTATAAATATCTTATTCTGTAATAAAAGACAGATTTATATTCTCGAGGGCAGAACACTCCTAAATACCATAATTTTTTTTCCACGATACCCTATTCAAGCCTATAATCATGGCTGCAGTCTTGTCTGCCTATAGGTAAATCTGGTCCTGTCTGTAACATGCAACAAAAGTCAAAATCATATCTTTGTATATTCTTTTAATAAAGACTTTTATAAATTTAACAAAACCATAATATAAAACTAAGCTTTCTAATTTTCGAAGATGCAAAACTATCAACAATCTTTTCGGCATTTAAAGTGCAAAGCAGTTGCAAAATACATTCAATTAAAAGGAAGACATTACCATCACATTGCTTGTATGCTTACAGCGCACATTTAGATAAGTCTTATGGCTATTTGATTGCCTCTTTCCATTTTAGCCCCTAAAAATCAAATTTTGAAAAACTTTCATTAATTGGACACTCTCATCAACAGTATTTATGTTGGGCAGCCCTTTCATAAAACTCAGTATATTAGTTAAGGATGCTGTTAACTCTTTCTGTGGTTTATTTAATAAATTTCTAGGTATTGCAACATTTAATTCAAAAGAGTTCAAGGTTTCATCAGAAAATCTGAACTCTAAACCTAGAAGTATGCTATCAAGATCAAATAAGAATTGCTATCAAGTAATGGTAAATAAACATTGACTCTATAATAAGTTATCATTGGTATTGAGGTTTGCACGATTAGTTTGTTTTCTTTAATTTTTGGAACCTTAATTTTTAAACCTAAGTCTTCTAGTAACTTTGATGCTGTCATAAGTATAGCATTAAAGTTTTCTTCACTCTGTTGTAATATTTAATATTTTTATGGTATGTTAAAGAATAGTTTTAGCATATTTCTTATACAATAATTTTTTTGAAGAGCCTCACTTAAAGAGATTACTACAAATAAGTACTCAAATATTCCATTTTTAGTAATACAGCCTTTATTAAAGATTCCCGTTCATTCCACTGAGATATCAAAACATGTGTTTCTACTATATTTATTAAACAAGATTTAAAACTTAACACAGAATCATGCCATCTTGTTTTGCATAAGATTGTAAGCATTCCTGTAAATATATATTTAAGAACATTACTTCGCTTCAGCAAAGCTTTAAAACATAATATTACCTCTTTCATTGTGCCAATTGTATATCTTGCAGCTTGCACAATATGAACATTTGGAAATTGATATGTTTAAAGCATGGTTGTACTTTTTATTGCATTTTGTAGGATCTTCTGTAATTTCGTGACTGCTCAATTGTTTTCACCTAACATGGCTGCACCCATTAGTATCTATACCTACACAATCTTTTAAATTAAAACCAAATTTTGTCAATGTACTTGCAACTATGTTTGCTAGCAATTCTTCAGTTAACACAGGTTCATAAGTAAAATCAAAACAATTTTCAGTATGGCAGTTTACAAAACCAATAAAATCTTCATGGATTTCACAGGTATTAACATCAATATATCTTAATACGGCTGTATTTGAGAACTGACTGATATCTGTTGTTTCATCAAATATAACGCTATAACATTTTCCTGTAAAAATTCTTGTTTCAATTAAGCCCTAAATTTGTTGAGCGCATAGTTCAACTATTTCATTTTGAATACATTTAGTTATGCATGTTGCTTTAGAATTACAGTTATTTAAATGGTTTTGTAAAATATTTTCCCTAGCGCTCTCTTGAAAGAGAAGCAATTTCTAAAGATTGCCATCATTATTTACTAAAGAGTTTTGATTTATTTTAAAGATCTGCCCATCATTGTGATGACCTCGCAGAGCAATATTCTGTGACCAAGAAATATTATAGATTTAGTTATAGGTTTTAGTCATTTTCGGTTTTCTTTAGCTTGTTTAAGTCATCCTTTGTTAACTAAAGTACGTACATCTGTAAACAGACATTCATATGTTCTGATAAAATCTGATGCTGGCAACATAACAACTTTGTGATACGCATTGCAATCATGTAATTGTAAGTCTTACCCAATCCTTACCCAAAAGCTTTGAGTAACTTTTAAGAGGTAAAGTAACTAGCTTGAATAGTTGTACTTGACCGTGTAATCCTCCAACTTTTGCAAAAAGAAAGCAATATTTATAAAAAATTCCATAAAGGCATTCTGAAATTGTTATCCACGAAAATTTATGTATATGTTTTTTCGGACAAAAAGCAATTAACATTCTTACCCTTCTTTAAATGCACAGAATATGGATATTTGTAATTTGGACCAGGAAACCAATTTCATTTCAATATTCGGTCTTTATCTTGTTTAGTTACCTGATATTTTAAAAATGCTCTAAACATCTATAGGCAAACAGCTCTAATTTTTTGTTATGGGTATTGAATCTTCTTTATTAATTTCTGCGTTAGTTTTACTTGTAAAATTAGCAGCTTCCATACCAAGTCCAGGTTCTGGAAAAAAAGCACTAAATGTCATTGTAATTTGATTATTTTCAGCCCTGCCGATATTAGCACAAATAAATTTTTTGGATGATGACACCAAAGGTAAAGGCAAAACAATAGGACCAGCATGGTCCTGTATTGATAAAATTTTAATTCTTTTGACAAAATACTTATTTAAATAGCTTGTCCTCTCTACCCTGTTGGTCATTGTAGCTAATGAAAATAATTTCATTTAAAATAGTAAAAATCATTAGTCATTTATTTATTTAAAATAGTAATATACACACTTTTGTTTTCTAAATAAGAAACTAATTCATAAGAAATTCATTCAGTTACTATTCAAAAAAAAATTCTTCGTATCTTATTTAAATACAACTTGAAGTGTTTATAAGTGTAATATAAATTAAAGTGCTACAACTTCAATTGTTGAAAAATAAATAATTTGTTATTGAAATTTTAATTACCAAAAACGCCATCACATATTTTTATTGTACTACAAATTAAAATCAAATTAAAAAAATAAAATTTATTATTAAAACCAAATTTATATATTTTTTTAAAAAACTTTATTAAAAATTAAAATTTTTTTTTTTTAATAAAACGGTAGTAATTTTATTGTTTTTAATTGTTATCTTATTATATAATAGAATGAATTAAATGACATTTAAATAACGATAATTAAAATAACAATAACATTAATGATTAAATTAACATTAAAATGTTTTAAAACTTTGCTTTTTCTTCGATATCGTAAAAATGTTAAAAATGCAACAATAGATTTTTTTTTGTAATGCTATGAGATAGTTTTGCAAAAAAAAAATGTAAATAGTTAGCTGCAGAATTTTTGTATTTTATTATTTCTTTTACATAATTATTTTTCATCATTATTTTGAAGTTTGACATTTCTTAAGAGGAGGGAGTAGTTACTTCCCTTTGTATCCGTTACTGCATCGAGAAGAACTATTTTAAATAAAAAAGCCTACCTTGTAACCAACAAGATAGGCTTTTTTATTTAATTAGATTGTAAGTAGAAGTTTGTAAAAAAATTTCATCAATATCTGTTCAAAATTTGAATGATTTAAAAAATTAAAATAAGCAATATTTATATGTCTAAAAGTCATTTAAGTAAACAATTTATATTGTTAGCTAGCTCCTTTTTTTATGTGAAATGTAAAGACATTGTAAGGAACATAACCATAAATAGAAAAAACCATTAATATCAGTATTTTATACCATTTTTATATATATATATTTTTTTTTTATAACACATCATAAATCATTCAATTACATTTTTGCTCAATCAACTATGTTCAATATATCAAATTAATTACAATCAATGCATTGAACATGATAAGTTGTTCAACGCATTAAACATGATTGATCCACTTATCATTAAACAATACATCATCACTTCCTATATAAAACAACAAACTTAATTTTAAATGTATTTATTGAATATCAAGAATCAAGATGTGTGACTTTCGTACAATAATTTTAAAATATTATGATCATAAACATAAAATTAATCATTTTATACAAATATAAAAAAATATTTACATATTATATTATAAAAAACTACCTTTCATTATCACTGTCTGAAGAAAATCCAAAAATTTCATCTTCACTATCCCTCTGAAAAAAAAAATATTAAAGATTTATAAATTATAGTATGCAGCATTATTAGTTTTAAGTTCCAGGACTTTGCAAAAAGTGAAAGCAAATAATAATTTTAATATTTTACTATTTAATAAAACATTAGTTTCTTATGTGTTATTATTAAGTAATTTGTTTTAGATTGGACTTCAATGGTTTCTTGAAACAAAAAAATAGTAAATAGCTCTTGTGTAGTGGGAGACACCAATTTTAGATACTCAGTAGATTTATGGAGCTCAGTAGATTATGGAGAAAAGTAGCATACCTTAATTTAGGTTAATAATGCAAAAAAATGCATTACATGCTTTATTTGCTTAGAATAATAAAGATCTTGATCCTGCAAAACAGTTTAATGTTAGAAAGGGAAACCCATTAAAACTACACAAGAAACAGTAAACATTGAACTATTAGTAAGTTTTCTTTTTATAAAAGCTTTTGTCTCTTTGGTTATGAAAAGATTTAAATAATTATTTACACGCACAATGGTTGAAATTTATTTATTATTTATCCATGAGTTTCTTTTTCATCTAATTTTGGAGAGCATGATGCAATTTATGAAAAAAACTGTTTTGGAGAAACAAAACTTTTATTTTAATTTTGATTTAAAAATAAACATTAGAGAACAAGTTAAGTGTAGGAGCTGCATCACATTTTGAAACACTGTATCATAGATATTTTTTTTACCCAAAACAAAAGAACTATGGTAAACCTGATAAAGATTTAAAGTTCAGCAGTTACAATAACAGTAGTAGTAAAAGTGATGTTTAGCTGAAACTATATCAACTGACTAATGTAATAGCAACATTAAAAAGTGAACAATTAAATAAAAAAAAAATAGGCAGCAATACAAAGAAAACAAGTATTTATATTAGATAATAAATATCAAAAATATATTTTTTGTAAAATTCATTTCTATAGAACAAAATTGTTTCAAATATTTTATAAGTTATTAAAGTTTTAGTGACACTCCCATATCAAAAGAAATAACACAAAAACTGAGTTTTTGTGTTGTTTTTTTGTTATGCTTATCTTCATCATAACCTATATTTCATTTAGATTATGATGAAGTACCAATTTTAGCAACTTGTTCTTCTGGTTAAGTCTAAATCTAAGCTAAGCTAGCTTAGACATGTTCCAGAAAAAAACATTTTTTTCTGTGGAAACAGCAATTATGTATGTAACTGTAGTTCTGTTACTTAAATACAAAAAAAAAAAAAAAATAGTGAAGCACACATAAAAGTAGTATCTTATATAAAAACTATAAAGAATTAAATCAAACAAAGACATTTAAATAAGAAAATTCAAAAAAAATTTGCCACAAGATGTTCAGGACTATTTATTGAAAGAGCAGTTGTGTGTTCATTTGTTTATAAATTTTAGCAATTTTTTAAGTCAAGATTTATAATGAAAAAAGAAGTACTAAAGAAATTGATTAGTAAGAAAGGGTTGGAAAAGCTGACCTAAGTTCTTGGATAAGAAACAAGTGAAAAATTGCTCATTTAAGTGTCCAGAAATGTCTTTATTATAAAAGAAATACCAAGAAAACAAAAGAAACCAACTGCAGGTAAACATGTTTCACTTTCTTCAAACTAGGTTACTTAATTAATTTGAGTAAAGGTTTTAGATGCACAGACTAAAACTCTAATTTTTACAATTTAATGATTTTAGTTTAATGTTTGCACTCTTAAAAAAGTTTAATGACTGCACATTTGAAACATAGTAACTAGGTAACCTAACTTAACACTATACAGGGTTCCCACTTCTAAAACTGGTAGTAAAATTAAGGATTTTAAGGAGAATTAAGGATATATTTTCCTAATTAAAAAGGAGATTCGATCGCAAACTACAAATTTTTAAATGAAAAAGTAAGGAGAATTAAAGAGCAACATATACATTAAAAATAGAATCTTTCCTTTTTCAATAAATTTTAAATATAAATAGATTAACTATTATAAATAAATAAATATATATATATATATATATATATATATATATATATATATATATATATATATATATATATATATATATATATATATATATATATATATATATATATATATATATATATAGATATCTTCTATAATTTTTCTTTTTGCTTCCATTTTCACTGTTTTTTCTACAGACAGGGCTTTTGAATGTTGATCATCAAAATACATCTTTCTTGCTTGTTTGTGGTAATCTAATAAATCTTTTGTTATTTCAATTTCATGAGCTATGAACCCACAAGATGATAGTGTCTGTGGACATATTGCCATCAATCAGACTCTTATTGCTGCTAAATCCTCATTCAACTTGAGCTTGTCTGTGCGATAAAATGAAGACAATTTTGAAAATGTGCTGTAGATTTGCATACATCTTTAAATCAGTGTATTTCCACAAAAAGTAGTCCAAATGATCCTTATCTTTATCAAAAGTCTTTTTGGATATTCAACCATAAATAATGGGGAAATACACACTAGACAGCAAGCAACCAATGAAGACAAAAGGTTTTTCTCAATAATATGAGTGCACATTGAGACAAGAAAATCACATATTTCCTTTTCGAACTTGTCAATTTGAACATCCATAATTTTTCCCTTACTCTTAAGTTGCTGGAGATCATACTTCAATGAAAAACCAACATCAATTTTGCTGGTTGAATGCTGGTTAATTTAATTGAACAAATCTATTTTTAACAGAGAAATTGTAGTTTTCGCATTTAAAAGAACATCTAATCGAATGAACTAGTTTTTCTAGTAGTTCTTCAAGTGTCACCACCAGAAAAGGAGTCATTGGTTTATCAGTTTGAAAAGAAACTCAATGAAAAAAAAAATAGTAAGATTGAAAAAAACTTTTTGTGATTTTGTCGCAAAATTTTAAAATTAATATGAAAAGAATATCTGAGAATATTTTTATACTTTTGTAATAAAACAAAATATATTATATAAAGAGCAATAAAATTGTATCTGGATCAAATAATACATACCAAGGAATGTATTTAGACTGCCACTAATCTCTTCAAAAAACTTCAACTTTAAAGGAACTAAAACTTCATTTGTTTGAGCATTTAAATGTTCAAAGCTGGTGTTTTGTCCTAATTTACCAAATCCAGGTTGCTTACTTTTTGGTAAAGACTTCCAGTAGTCAACAACTATTACTACTTTTGACCAAACCTCTATTGCTTTCTTGGCAAAACTTTGATTTTTAGCCTATCGAGTTCCACAAAATATGTTAGGAAAATTTGAACTTGATGCCTCAGCTATTCTTTCATAATCACTTGCTCTTGATGGACTTTCATGAAACACTTGGTACATTGAAGAAATTAACTTCTTTATGTTCCAATCAGTAGCTTTAGCACCAGTTTGTAAGGATCCATCGATAGTATGTAAACCACAGGTACCAATATCAATGAGTTTACTTAATCCATTGTTATGACATTCTTTGTTGAGCATTTCAAAAAACAGTTTATTTGCATTAGGGCCATCCATAGAAACCTGAAGCATTGTTTTTTTACAACTTTATTGTTCTCTTTATTGTTAACTCATCAAAAAAACTTTTCCAGCAGATTAAGATCTTTTATCAGAATTTTTTTTAAACATGGGAACATGACCATGACTTACAACAAACATGGGAACATGACCATGACTTACAATAAAGCCAGATTTTGTTCGACCACAAGACAAGTCGCTGGCAATTTTGCTATCTGGAAACATCAAAGCAAATTGTTTAGACTTATTCTCACTTGATCTAAAAGAGTATTTGCTTTGAACAATATCTAAACACCAAATTAATTCTGCTTTCAAAATTACTTTCTTTTGAAGCATATCTTAAATGATAAATAACAAAAGTATAGGATTTTAACTCATCAAAGAAGTAACTAAGTAACTATATGCTTATCTATAGATAAGTATAATCCATTTGCTTTAATAAAATTTCCAAGATGATAAAAAAAAGAAAGTAAGGAGAAATTAAGGAGAGCAGTCAAATTTTTTTTAACTTTTTTTAAGGTTATTTAGGGATTTTTAAGGATTTTTTTTTTTTAAAGGATATTTAAGGTTTTTAAGGAGGAATGGGAACCCTGCTATAGCATTAGCCAGAACTTTATTTATGAAGATTGCGCCTTTTCTCTGAAAAGTCAGACATATTGTCTACCATTTTATTAGACTTAATGTAATGTACAATAATGAAGGCCAGTATTATTCATTTGACCTCTTTATGCTAGAAGAAAAAAAGTTTTGTTTTAAAGAAATTCTTAAATAAAACTTCTACAGTTTGAAAACTAAAGACAACCAGGATTTGTACCTACAATAACTGATTGACTGTCACATTGTTAAAGAAAAGCAAACAAGAAAAATAAGGGAGTTGGAGAATTTTTGTTATAGTTAAGTCATCTTGTATGCAGGCATATTTTAAGGCTTATCTATCATTGCATGAATTTATAAAAAAATGTACAAAGAAATTAGGAAGCCTGGAACTGTGTGGAAAATTACCGGGAGACAAAGTTACCACATTTAGAAGTGTTTAGGAGATAAAGTGCAAAGTTGCATTAGGCAACATAAAAAAATTTCTACTAAAATAGCTACTATTTTGGGAAACTTGACTATTTTGAAATGCTATTTTAAATGTCAAAGAAATGCACAAAAAGTTTCTTGATGCAAAAGTAAGTTACACTAAAAACCTCTCACTTGGCTGACTCAAGCAAAAAAAATTTAAACTAATATTAAAGGTTATGTAGAAAAGAAAGTCACTGGGCTCAATACATTCTGCTTTAATACCTTGACTTGCAAAAGAAATCTAAAAAAGCTGTCAGTAAATACCTTATGTATAGACAATATAAAAAGCAAGAAAGTACATGTTAAAGTAATGGACTAAATGTTGTGTTCTCCTTTTTAGTTATTAGCTATCTAAATAAAATTGTACCTAATGAGTACACAGAACTATGTATATGATCTATGATATGTAACTTCCATCCGCCAGAACAAAAACTCTATTCACAATATAAAGTTTCAATAAGTTGACATTATAAAGCTCCACCTGTACATTCCAATGGAGCTTAAACATTTTTATGGTAATATTTACATGTGAACCACAAATGAAAATAACACTGAAAATGACTAGGGAGAAAAACATTAAGCCTGATTGTTATAATTATTTAGATATTTACATTACACATGATCTTATAAATAATAAAGAAATAAAGTTATTAAATTAAAAGTACAATTTTTTATCATTGTAAAATGAGACAAGCACTTAAAAAAACATTTCTTTGACATAAACATTTTTTATTTTAGTTTGATTGTCTTGACTGAACCCCTTTTACCATGAACCTATTCATTTATAATATATAGTCATAAATATGCATAATAGTTTTAGTTTCAAGTTAAATAACAATCAACTCTATGAACACTGGTATTAATGACTTTGTCAAAAACAACATTTTGAATTTTTTTTAATGAATTCCAACAAGGCTGCAAACAACCGATATTTTAGAGTCATTTTCTGAGAAAACCAAGCAATGCTCAAAAGTGATATCTTTCAATCATTTTCAGTTTTACATATTGTGTTGTTTGTAATGTTAAAAATAAGCCTGAAATTTTTTTTTTTTAATATTTTTAGTTCCTGAGTTATGGTCAGTTAAACTTTTCCCATTTAAATACTTGAAAAGTCACTTTTGGGGTTTTATGACTTTTAAATTAAGATTAAAAGCAATGAGACCACTGAACCCTAATATTCTTTTCATATTATGGAAGTATTGGTAGAACTTTTTTAAAAAAAAAGCAAAAAACCTGAGGACAACCCTTCCTTAGTCTAAAAATCATAAGCTGAAATCACACATTTTCACACACAATAATTAATTGTGTTCAATACACACAGCACCTTCGGGTATAGTATAAGACAAAAAAATATATTATATAATTTCTTTATGGAAGGTGAAGTATCTGGAAAAAAGTTTAACCTAGAGCGGGTGCACCTTTTAATAAGAAAAGAGCTTTAAGTCTTAGATAAGGTAACAACTTGGCAAATAAGATCACTTTTTTCACATTGGAGCAGGCTAAAAAAAGTCTCAGAATAGGTAACAACTCAGCAAATAAGATCACTATTTTCACATTATAGTAGGCTAAAAAAAGAAAAAAACTTGAATGAACTGATTGATATTGGTAGTACTAATGTGGATAACAAAGAATAAGAAGAGACAGCAGATCAAGGTAATAATTTTTATATCTAATCTCATTAATATATATTTTAATATTATTTTGTAATTACAAATATTTGTACAAATGTTAGTATAAATATTTATATTTTTCTTTTTGTAGATCAAGAAGAATTAGCAAATAAAGAATTTAAAAAGAAATTTATAAGGATTACCATTGATTTATCTTTTGCATGGCATGAAAACGATTGGATTGTTGTTATTGATATGGGTAATTGATATCCTGGTATTATAAATAAGGTACTTCATTTTCATTCAATGTTAAAAAAAAAAATGCTTTTCATTCAAAGAAAAACATTTTTTTTAAACATTATTTGATTAAAACAATTGTGTCACTAAAATTTAAATGAAGTTTACTTTTGTCAAACAAGAATCTGATTTTTCAAACTATTTTTAAATTAGAAAAATCATTACTCATATTAGGTTCTCAGTGATGGTGAGCTGTATGAAGTATGCTTCATACAGCTCACCATGTATCTTCTGCAGACAAGAACTTTTTTAAGGTTTTTGTCATACATCTTCTGCAGACAAGAACTTTTTTAAGTGATTTCCTTTTCCTGAAATGTTTGCTAAGAACTTTTCATCAATCTTATTGCTTGATACCACTAATCACATCAAACTTGATATAGCAGACTAAGAGGTTGGTCCATAGCTTAACATCACTCCATTCTTTTCCTAATGTTATAAAGTACAAAGACAGTAAAATCATTTGTGGAATTCTACCACCATTACCATTAACACAGCACGGAGACTATAAGCATATAAATGAACAATTTGAAAAAACCCAAAAGGAATTTCAAGTAACAATGCATTAAAATCAATGACATAAGGATAAGGATATGTAAAACTGATTTATGACACAAACAATGACATAACAAGATAAAGACATAATATAATATTTTGATTAATTCCGCTGCAACATTTTTTTTTTAAATATATAAAAAATTTAACTTTATGTAGTGGAGTTATTTCAACAATGCAATATTTCCCCCTAAGTTTTTTTTTTTTTTTGCATTAAATGAATTTTTTTGCATTAAATGAATTTTTTTTTTTTGCATTAAATGAATATGTAGTAATATAAAATCTGTATCCTCAATCTTGGGATCTTTCTCATTTTCCATAATTGCTGATATTTGAACACTAGTTAAAACAATTTTTTACACTTTGAAGATTCATAATTTTTTTGTAAACAATATCCTCTCAGTTTCTTTAGACCATTCAAATAAAAATGGGATACACTTTCCAAAAAGGATAAGATAAGTTGCGGGCACCTTTAAGGTTCCGAGATAAATGTATTTAAGATAGGCCCTAAATTCAAAATTGTGTGATTTCAGCTTATGATTTTTAGACTAAGGAAGGGTTGTCCTCAGGGTTTTGATTTTTTTTTTTAAAGTTCTACCTATACTTCCATAATATGATAAGAAACTTAGGATGCAGTAGTCTCACTGCTTTTAATGTTAATTTAAAAATCATAAAACCCCTATAATAACTTTTTAAGAATTAAAAGGCCAAAAGTTTGACTAACCATAACTCAGAAACTATAAATATTTTGAAAAAAAAAACTTATAGGCTTTTTTTTTTTTACTCTATCAGCATTACTGTATAAAAATTGAGTACAATTAAACGATATCACTTTTGAGCCAACAGTACTTTTGTCTGGTTTTATCAGAAAATGACTCTTAAGTAAAAAACAGTTGACTGAAGACTATAAAGTATATTAGTCAGGAAAACATGAAAGCAAAATAAACTACAAAGCATTGATGCTCAAAGACAAAAACTAGATATAAGTTTTTTAAATCTAAAGAAACAGTTACCGTAATTGAATGTAATTTTGCTAAAGAGGATAATCGAAAATACTTATATGAGTTACAACACTGTTCTAAATTAATTTTTAAATAAATATTTGTTACAAAAAACCAATGTAAAAAGGGAACATTTTTTTAAAATATTTAATAAAATAATTTTGAAAATTTTTTTTAATTAAAAAAAAACGTTTTAATTAAGTTTAAATATGAATTTAAATAGTATTTAGATTTTATAAAAAAAACAATATAAAAGCCTTTAATAAGTCAATTGCTGTTTTTTTACTGCTTCCATCTAATGCCAATAAAACCTTTTTGTTAAGATAGCAGTAGAACAAGAGGACTAAAATCTTATTGATTAAAAGTGAGTGGGTTGGTGGAGTTTCAAAATGAGATATTTGAAGCTTATTAATTAAAGTCTCAAAGACTACACTAATAATAGTAAGAAGATTTATTGGGTAATAGAGATCAAATATTGGGTAATGGAGGTCAAATATTGGGTAATAGGAGGTCAAAGTTGTAACCAGAAGAAAAATTTTAACCTCAGCGTCATTTTTACAGCAGGTGGAAAAACAAGATTCAGTTAAACTTACATTAAATAGTTTAGAAAGTATTAAAGAGAGTTCCAGGGAAGGAACACTATAAGAATAACAAACTGTAGAAGAGTTAAAGTAAGAAATAACTTTAGCAACAGAAAGCAGACTGATTCCAACATTAACAATGAATTAATCTGCTTTTATTGGCTGTCAGGAAGAATATGGTTGTTAGATTCTCAAAGATGATTTAGAGGAAAAGTTCTTTGCAAATAGTTATAACTTATCTTTGAGAGAGGTAATAAGATCAAACAAAGGAATGAGAGATGTAATGTATGACTTGTCCTTGATAATAACACTATTAGAAATTTTCCAAACATTTTAATACTTCTATTAAATACCAGCACAAAAATTATGTTTTTATTTATTCCGAGTTTTTCAAAACTTATAATAGACAATAAAATAATTAACTGTTATAGATATAATAATAATTGTCTAATTATCTGCTTTGTCATATATAGATTTAAAGCTTTATTTAGTAAACAATACAATATATAAATAAATTTCTCCACTTAATAAAATTAGATTTTTAAGTAATAAAAGCAGCAAATATAACCTTTAGGTTTCTTGAAGTTTCATTTGTTGAATTAGGGATAGGTTTAACAACTAAAAATAAATTCAAAATAAACTCAAAATAAGTATTTTAAAAATCCCTTTATAATTAGGTTGTAATTGTTTTTGTTCCTTTATTAAAACAAGGTTAATAATTTTTGACAGAAACCACAAAAATTAGACTAGAAATTAAAAAAACTAAAAATAACTTAATTTAAATTTTTTCTCAATTTTTATATCTTTGCAAATCAATATACATATATACATATATATATATATATATATATATATATATATATATATATATATATATATATATATATATATATATATATATATATATATATATATATATATATATATATATATATATATAAATATATATATATATATATATATATATATATATATATATATATATATATATATATATATATACATATATATATATATATATATATATATATATATATATACATATATATATATATATATATATATATATATATATATATATATATATATATATATATATATACATATATATATATATATATACATATATATATATATATATATATATATATATATATATATATATATATATATATATATATATATATATTTATATATATGTATATATATATATATATATATATATACATATATATATATATATATATATATATATATATATTTTTATATATGTATATATATATATATATATATATATATATATATATATATATATATATATATATATATATATATATATATATATATAACATCCCTAATTACTATATATCTTTATACATTTATAATTAAAGTTACATAAAACCCTAAATTTAAGTATAAACCATAAGCTCACTATTAGCTAACAAGCTAGTTAACATAACTGTACAACTGCAGAAGATGATGCAATTCGGTAACTATATTAGTTGCTGATAAAGTAACTATATTACTTTATCTGGCAAAGCATTTCAAGTATTTGCAATCCGATTGTTGATTGTTAAAATTAAACCAGGCAATTAATATTTTTGCAACGAACATATTTACAATGACAATAAATAAGAGGAATGTATATTGGGTCAAAATAACAGATTATTAACTTTGTTTCGTTTTCAAATTGAACTTCTGCATAAAATCATCATGTTTTCTTTTTTAGTAAAGTTAGGCCAAACTTAGTTCATCTTGTCTGGCAGAAAATTGCTTCAAATTTTGGATTATTTTTGTGACATGATGTATACACTTAATTGCATTAATGTCTTTAAGATTAGAGCCCCAGACAGTGATAGGATATAATAGATGTGAAGGTACATTTTTAGTGTCAGGTCAGGCATATGGTCATCAAGATTACCCTGCTACTGGTAACATGTAATCAAGTGCAACCTGTTTTATGTCCTGCTGCCTTGTAGGATTTGATTTCAAAGCTAGAAAAACTTCCAATCATCAATACTATTTAATATCTTTTATGTCTACAGTGGTGTCTATTTTTGTCTGTTAAATAGTTAGAAGTGTTTTAGTTAATATGTCACTAGAAATTTATTATATATGTATGTTTGTGTTCCGTCTAAACCTCTGGTACAGTGTTCATTCACCTATATGTTGCTGTTTGCATGTTTGTATTCTGTCTGAACCTCTAGCGTAGTTTCATCCACCTGTAAGTTCTCATATGTATGTTTTGTGTTCTGTCGGAACCTCTGACCTGGGAGTTCATTTACTTGTAACTTATACTCAAATTAATTTTCCAGTATTCCTTTAGATATAATATTTATCCTAATGCATTTTGAAAATATCCCATTCAAAATTTTAAAGTACTGCTTACAAAACTTCTTTTAACTACTCATGGTCAGGTTTAGGATCATCATGATCACTCTACCACTGGTATCATGTAACCCAGTACTAGGTGCCCCATGCCCCATGTACATACATACATATACATTCATATTTGTATATCACTATATATATACTGATAAATCTTTGTATATACTTGTATACCACTATTTAACTTTATGTTTCACTATATTTATAAATCTTTATAAATCTTTGTAAAAATTTATATATCACTTTATCTATATTAATATTAATTTAATCCTGAAATGGAAATAGAAATTAAAAAACTTTGTATAACCTGGAAACAAATCAAACTCAAACAATTTTTTTTCAAGGAACCTGCTCTAACCAATTCTTTTGTTTTGCCCTTCAACTAGTGATTCTTGATAAACATTTTAATACTTGTCTTAATATTGCCACTATTATTAATTACTAATCAACCCTCCATGTTAACCCTCCATACCTAACAAGCAACTTTAATAAAAATGAAATCGTTTGATATTATTATATAAAATTAAATTACATTAATCATATATATAAAAAAAATTTCAATAATTATAAAGTAAAATTAATTTTTACTTTCTGAAGATTTCTTTAACATGCTCCATGGTTGATTCTAAATGTGAAATAGGAAAAAAAGAAAACATTTAAAAACAAGTTGTTTATTTAAATAAAAACACAAAAATGAAACCAAAATGAACTTAAAATCATTACAGTTTAACAATTTACCTTTGCTTTTCTTTTCATTCTGTGAAGAATGCAAATAAAAATATTCAAAATATTTTAATTGTAACATAATAATACATAATCTATTTACTATCTATTACATAACAATATGCTATAAACAATATAATGCCAATAACTTTACATTATATAATACTGTATAAATATATAATTATATTTACAATATAGTGTATAATAGAAAATAACTTATTTAACTAAATATACTGTATTATATACCATATATTAGAAAATAACTTATTTATCTATAAAATACTAAAGTTAAATATAATAGCAGTGTTATAGTGCAGCGTTGCTTTTCACTTTTCAAGTAGTATCATAGTTACAAGTAGTCTCATAGTTACAAGTAGTATCATAGTTACTAGTAGCATCATATTTACAAGTAGTATTATAGTTACAAGTAGTATCATAGTTACAAGTAGTATCATAGTTACAAGTAGTATCATAGTTACAAGTAGTATTATAGTTACAAGTAGTATGATAGTTACAAGTAGTATCATAGTTACAAGTAGTCTCATAGTTACAAGTAGTATCATAGTTACTAGTAGTATCATATTTACAAGTAGTATTATAGTTACAAGTAGTATTATAGTTACAAGTAGTATTATAGTTACAAGTAGTATCATAGTTCCAATAGTATCATAGTTAAAGATTAAGAGACAAAAAATATAAAGAGAGTGGTCTAATCAACAGCCTTCAAGATTAAAACAAATGCACAACCTTTCAATTTAAAACAGATCCACAGCCTTCAAGTTTAAAAGAAGTAAATATAGAAAAAATACTTAATATAAGATTCATATCAAAAGTTTCCACAATTTATATTATTTTCTTAACTATTATGTAAAATAGTTAAGTAATGATAATTATACGGACTGTAAAAATTTCAAAATAGGAGTCATAAAAAGAACTCCAGTTTTGAAAGCCATAAAACCACTTTCAAATTTATTTTTAGTCTTTTGTGAGGTGATCAGGGGTCTAAAAACATTGAGAGATTTCTATTTTGAGAAAGAAAAAATCATGACATTTAGGACAGAGAAACTACTAGTTTTGAACCCTGAGTCCTTATATAAAATGACTTCTGGCTAAATTAACAATAGTTTCCAAGATTTTAAATTACTTCTATTTTTTTCTAAATTTAGTCAGCATTTTTTTTTAGAACTTTTGTACACAAAAGACAATGAACAAATATCTTCATATTAGGGTAATTAAAATAAAAATTAATTGTTGTATTTTTTTTAACTTTATAGATATAATGGTAATTTTTTGAACACTATCAGTTTAAATGATTAAAAAATAAATTTAAACCAATAAAAAACAAAAATAAATTCTTCTAATCTAGTTCTAATATTGTTAAATAAAACAATAAGCAAAAAAAAAATTTAATATAAACCATTTTTGTTACCAACAACCCTAGATAGAGATGTTCATGAATAATAACATATTTTCTAGTTAAATAAAAATAAATAATAACAAGAAAAAACTTAGATAAAGAAATCAAACTGAAATAGAGATAATAGACAATTTAGGACTTGGATGGTTGTAAAAAAATTAATCTAAATGCAATTTTTTTTCTTTTATTTTTCATCATAAAAATAACAGGTATTTAAGTACACACAAAATACAGTCAAAACAATACTAGTATTTGCAGTTATTGTACATTTTTATTTTAGTTTTAGAAACAGTTTGCTGCAATAGATGTCTTTTATGCATCCTAGTACCCTAATCTGTCAGTCAACTTATATAGCCTCACATATCTCTATTTCGATATAACTTTATCTGTGACATTTTGCTTAACCACAAACCATGAGTAAAAGAATTTAACATTTAATGATTTGAGCTTATCAGTGATTAAACTTCATTTTATATCATATTTCATTGGTTTGAGACTTTTATTACACTTTATTAAAAATTATTTTCAAAATTGAATTTTAATACAACTTCATAAGCCAATGATAAACAAAACATGCCAGAGTGAAATTTTGAGGAGGTATTATTTTTATGAAGTTTTTAGAAATTTAAAACAAATTTATTACAAATTTTTAACTGAAAACTAAAACAAAATTTGAAACGCTTTTTATTTCCCTAAAAATAAAGCAGTGAATTACAAAATATGTGAAATAAGAAACATATAAAATAACTACAAGATAAATTATTTTGAAAATTCATAAAATCAACAAAACTATCCAAAATAAAAAATCAACCAAATAAATACATAAGCAAATATTTTTAATCATCAATCACAGCGTTTTTTTAAAACAACTACATTTCTGTTTCTTTCTTTTCGACCTGTTTTGACGCTACCTTCATATCGTTATGTTTGACATATGTATACAAGGCAGACCCACCTAAGACTAAGAAATTACATCCCCACCACAAAACACTTTTAAATGAAGAATAGACAATAACTGCAATCACAGTTTGAAAACAAGCTTTAGCTGTACCACTAATATTATGTGTAAGAGGAGATGTTACTTTAATTTGAAGTCCTGTTACGTATCCAATAGCAATACCAAATACTCCAGATAAAGTCATCATTACCCAAAAATAAGAACTGAATATATGACTAAAATTGATCACCATCAAATGCTCTCCGTTAAACAGCATTAAAGGGATAAATAAAAAAATTGCATTAAAATTGTTATAAATCTGTAATCGCCATATATTGCCATCGACAAAAGGCATACTTCTTTTGGTGTATATTGCATTTAAACATACGCACAATGATCCTAAAACACCAAATAAAACACCTTTGTAAGAAAGGTTACTTAGACTTCCTTCCTCTTTGACGCCAATTAAAAAACCACAAATAATTAGCATACAGCAACCAATAGCACGCATTGAAGTTTTTTCATTAAGTATAAAATACGAAAATACCTAAAAAAAAAATTTTGAAAAACTTTTCTACTATATATATATATATATATATATATATATATATATATATATATATATATATATATATATATATATATATATATATATATATATATATATATATATATATATATATATACATATACATATACATATACATATACATATACATATACATATACATATAAATATACATATACATATAGATAGATATATATATATATATATATATATATATATATATATATATATATATATATATATATATATATATATATATATATATATATATATATATATATATATATATATATATATATATATATGTATATATATATATATATATATATATATATATATATATATATATATATATATATATATATATATATATATATATATATATATATATATATATATATATATATATATATATATATATATACAACCCTCAGAATTAGGAAAAATGAGGTCTGCCAACCTCAATCTTTTAGAGGTCGGCATCAGGTCAGCAAAATAAAATTGATACAAAGGTTTTACCATAAAACATAGAAACGAGGTTGGCAATATTTGCCGACCTCAAACACTTTTAGGTTGGCAGTTAGGTCAGCATTGCCGACCCTAATTTCAAGAGTTGTATGTATATATATATATATATATATATATATATATATATATATATATATATATATATATATATATATATATATATATATATATATATATACATATATTCATATATACATATATTCAATTATACATATATATATCAAGGCGCGATAAATCATTTTTTTTAGTAAATGTTGACGTTCATATCTTTATTTATTGACGAAGATCTAATTTAAGAAGTATATGTCAAACAACAGAGTTTTATTTTAAAATAATTTTCTTATTTAAATAATCTTTTATTAAATTATAAAAGAGATTTATTTTCAAACAATTTTTATTCTAGTAAATGAATTATTTGATACAACAAACATGCTTATTGAATTTATTCAACTTTTTATTATTTCAATACAATATTTTATGCATTTGCAAAGTGCGTGCAAACTAATGATAATTAAAGGCCATTTTCCACAAGATGAAAAAAATCACATGAAGCAAATTTTTGTCATGACAAAATGTTGCTCTGATATCCACATTATTTTTTGTGCTACTAAAAATAATGTGGCTATAAGTTAAAAAATGGCAGCTATAAGTTAACGCTGTTTACTTTTGAAAAAAATATATATAAATATAAAAAATAGTTTTAGATGCATATCTGTATTGTATTTTTTTAGAATATATAGGAAAATAAATGCTAACTTCTCATAGGAACACTTCTATTAAAAAAATGTTACTGCAAGAAGTAAAAAATGATTCAACTCAGAAAGAAGATAGACCTTCTTGTGAAGTGAAACTTTCGGAACTGACAGCATTTGTAAATTCATCTTTATTTGATAAATTTCCTAATGCTTTCCAATTTTTAGGGTAAGTTCTAGGTAAGTAAGAACATCTTGCTTTCACTTTTTTTTACTGTTGACTTTTTGTTATAACCAATCATATTTAAATTATTTAAATATGATTGGTTTTCGCTTATAACAACCAACTTTTTGTTTTGCTGCAGCAAATTGATTGATCAACAATATTAGAAGAAAGTTTTTATCTGTGCATGCTTATTGACAAAATAATCTTGTATTGTGGAAAATGGCCTTAGTAATATGCAATAACTTGATGATTGTAAACGTTTATCTATATTAATACAAAATACTGAATTTTTCTTAATTTAGTTCGTTAAATTTATTTACTTATAATAAAACGTATTAACTTAAGGAAATTAAAATAAAAGGGAAATAAAAATAAAATAGAAGTTGTATTGACTTTTCTTTTTTTTAACCTTTAAAAATAATATCGTATTAAGTATTTAATAAGTTATTATTAAATACTTAATATGAAATTATTATATTATTTTATTTATAATATTAAGTATTTAATATTAAAAATATGATATTATTACTATAATAATAAATTAAACTATAATAAACAAAATAATTCTATATATTCTATTAAATTATATATATACTTTAGTAAAACTTAAAAATTCTTTTCAAAACTTTTAAAAGTGTTTTTAGTATACAAACGAAGGTTACTTCACTTAAACGATAAAAAAGTTTTAAAAAAAGGCACGCTTTCAAATAAAGCAATTTTTTAGTATGGTTTCTTTTTTGCTGGCTTTTGTAAATGCATGTAAAAACCATGCTAAACAAAATTACTTTCTTTAACAGCATACTTTTTATTTAACTTAAAAGTAATGCTATTAACCAGAGTAAGGGGTCATCCATGAGGTATGTACACTTTTTTTTCGTCCACACATACCCCCAACACCCCTCCCGTATTTTGCAATACGCTTTTTCGAGTACTCTCCACCTCCCTAAAAGTACCTACGCTTTTAACCTATATATCTAACATTTTATGTTATTTTTTTAAATTTACTATCTCCTTTATGTTATAATTGACCTAATGTCCTCCCATTTCATATACACCATTTGCAGACCCCCATCTTCCACTCCAAGCGTACATACTTTATGGACAATCCCTAACCTAATCGTCAATCTTTACATTTTTCAAATTTGAGTAAAATTATTTTATTTAAGTTATTTTTAATTTTTTGTAAGATCTAGTACATTTCTTCACCTACCGTGATAATTTTTTTTTTTTGGGGGGGAGGGTTGATTTGAGATCAATGAAATGATTCTTTGGTATTCTAATTAATTTTTATATTGTTTTACTTTTGTGAACAAAGAATTTTTAACTAATAATTTTAAAGCACAACTTGTAAAAATTTTATATTTATAAAGTTAAACTAATTAAAAAATTAAAGTTGAAATTTTTCACAAAAAAGTTAAATCATCAGGTTTATACAAAAAATCTCTTTTATACAATTTATACAAAAAATCTCTTAACACAATATTTTGTCTTTGTAAAGCTGAAATGTTATCAACAAGTACAATTATGCTAGCCTGTCATTAAGCTATCAAGAGCAATCACCAGTATCACAAATCAGTAATGCCATCACTTGTAAAAATTTTATTTCAAAAATTAAAACTTTGAAACTATTTCCTACTAGACAATATGTTTGAAGAATAAGTTATTTTGACTTTTGACACAACTTCATGTTAAACATTTATGTTAAATTACATTTTTTTATCTAGTTCTTATTGATCCCATGTTGATGAATGACTTTAGTATTTATTTCTTTTTTTGTTGTTATTGTTGTTGTTGTTTTGTCTGTAAATAAACTTAATTATACCACAATGTTAGCTCAATAAAGTAATGATTAACTGTTTTAAAAAGTAATGATCAACTGTTTTAGTATTTCTTGATTTAATGATTTATTTATTTTAATCATAAAATAGATTTTTTTTTTAAATAAACTTATATTGAAAATTTTTATTTGCTGGTAAAACATTAATAGAAATTGTAACATAAAAAACTCTTCAATTACAACTTTAAAAAACTTATACATAAAGGGTTTAACAAACATTTATACAATATTTGATTTTGTTAAAACATTTTATTTAAAAAGTATAACTTTTAAAACGCTTAAAACAATTAATTAACAGTAAAGATTTCAAAACCCACGTCATAATTTAAACAGAATGAGGTAAGTTAAGATTTAAAATATGAGGTTTTTAATTTGAAAGACGCAAATTTATAAATAAGTGTATAATGATTATATTTGTATTTTTTAACATTACTTGAACTTTACTGCTAAATTAAAAAAGTTGTCTTCAACATAAACTTTAAATTAAAAATATTATACATAAAATTAAGTTAATAACAGTTTTCTTATCACCAATTTTTGAGGTGAGTTCAATTTTATATTTTTGCTACAAGGTTAGCAAGCATTATTTATTGGGGCTGAAAATCTTGGATATTTTGTCTATGTGCGTGTTTCACATGCATGGAGTGATCGCTCCCACTTTGTAAGATTGATTTAGGCCTTATTATTAAGTTAAATTATTTATTATCACTATAACAAGCTAGGACAGGAATGGAGTGTTATCGAGCGCTATTGCTGACCATGCAAATGATTTTTTTTTGGATAACTTGACCACAACTGTTTATATGACTTTAGAAATGTAATGAAAAAAGAAATATTAAGCTAAACTTAAACTAGGAAGAAAATCATAAAAAATAATAATATTAAAGAAAAATGAAAACAATTCAATACGAAAAAAGAAAATATATAAGTACTAAAATAAAACACAAAAAATTCAAACTCAAAGTGAAAATTACTTTTTGTTATGTTTTTAATTTGAAAATAAATTACTTTAAACTTCTCTTTTGAAACGTTTTATTAAAGTTACGCAAAACACTTTTACAAAATACTTTTAATTATTGTTTAATAAATGAACAAATTATTAAAAAATTATTAAAAAGTGTTTTATATAATATTTTTTAATTCTATAAACATTTATTTTTACCAGAAAGTTGCAAAAAAAAAAATGTTTAAAAAAATAACTTAGTCTTTTTAAAAAAGTAATTTTAATCATTTCAAGTTCTGATTAGTAAGTCCAGTTAAAAAAAAAGTTTTTAAACAATTATTTGTAAAAAGAGAAACAAAGAAAAAAATAAATAAAAAAACAATTAATTCATGGGAATTAATTGCTTTATGGATTAAAATAGAATGGTTGTCTCCGTCGAATAAATATTCTGAAGGACATTAGCATTCAAATCATTTGATTACCATTTTATTATGTTTATTTCAAAACTTTAAATTTTAAAATTTATTTAAGCAAAAAGTTTTAAAGCTTGAAGCTTTGTTCTCTTATTTAACTTTTAAAATCAACTTCTTTCCCAATCCAAGTTATAAAATATTCTTCCAAAAATATATAACCCTGTGGGGAATTATACTGCCCTAATAAATTAATAAGGGCTATATAACTCCCAAACTTCTCTTTTGAACTTCAAACTTGTCTTCAAAAATGTCTTTTTAAAGCAAAATTATTTAGTTTAACTGACAAAAAACAAGTAAACTTTGGATTTGGTGTTTCTTATATAAATTTTCTTTATACTCTAGTCGTTAAATTAGTTTAAAAAATTAAAAAAAAAAATTGATTTATAAAATGCCAACCCAAATTTAAACCCTTTGCCTACAAACTTAACAAACAAACTTAAAAAAATTAAAACCTTGAAAATATTGTATCTGGATTATCAGAACAACACCAAGTACAAGGAACTTCATAATTGACAATTTTCCTTGTGAATGATAATGTTCGCCACTCCAGACATTTATTATAATTAATTTACAATGGGAAGATTTAATTTAACTTATTCATAATTTAAAGTAACTTAAAAAAATCCTTTAAAAAGACATGAAAAAATAGTTTCAAACATTTAAATTTATTATGAAAAATGCATGCCTACATAAAAAAATTTATTTAAACAATCATATAATTTATTTTTTATTTTATTTAAAGCCTTTGCAGTAAAATAAAACTTTCAAGATCAACATTAAAAGTTAACAATTTTTTTATTTCATTTAAATTGTTAAAACATTAAAACAGCCATGGTCAAATGGTAAAATAAAAAAATTATAAGCGTGGTCAGTTACAGCGTTTGATCGCACATCATTCCTGTCCAAGTCTGCTATAACTAACATACTTGATTATAATTATTATAAAGAACATTAAATTAAAAATTATAGATCTCAATTTTCAATTACTATACCCTATCCATACATTCAAAAAAAAGTTATAATTATAGTATGTTAAAATTATTTCCTTCCTCAATTTATATTGAGGAAGGAAATAATTTTAACATACTATAATTATTTATATTTATTTCAAAAATATATACTTACAACATTGAAAAATGTAGTTAAAGCTCTCGCAACATTATAAAATGCAACATCAAGATACTTCAAACAAAGATTATTAAATGTAATCATTCCAACAAATACAACTGAAAGAGGTAATATCTAAAAGATTTTTTAATTTAATCATTCCAACAAATACAACTGAAAGAGGTAATATCTAAAAGATTTTTAAATGTAATTATTCCAACAAATATAACTGAAAGAGGTAATATCTAAAAAAGATTGTTAGTAATTAAAATTATAGTATTAAACAAATAAATAAAATTAAAAACAAGATTAATACAAACCTGTTTCACAACATTTAAATTAATATGAAACACAGGAAATGTATCTATATTAGGATATTTGTCTCCTATAAAACTGAGCAAAAACAAAACAAAAACAGAAACGATACACTGGAACCAAGTAATGAACATTGGTGCATCAAGCTAAAAATAGGACAAATCAATTCAAATTATCACTATCATTAACATAACCATTATCAACATCATCATGATGTTATAACACCGTAACTACTACCATAATCAATAATAATACATTTAATCTTTTAAAACATGTACCTTTAACTCATCGCTACTAAGCAAGTATTTGTTTAGAAAAACAAGTGAAATTGACACAACCCTGAAAAACAAAACAAAAATACAAAAATTTTTAAATGGGTGTAAAACAATGTGTTTTGAGTTTATGTTTATAAGCTATTGATGATCAAAAAAAGAAGTTTTAACTTATATTTTGATATTGACAACTTGTGTTTTTAAGCATTAATAGCAGAGATGCAGAGTTCTAAAAAAGACTCGGGATTTGAAAGTTACATAAAGATTACTTCTTCCGAGTTTTTGGTATCCAGAAGCTCTAAAAATATATAAAAAAGTTTATGGACTTATAATAGGAAAAAAAATTAATACATTTAAGTATGAGGAACAATCATTTTTTGAACCTGGAGTCCTTAGGTATAATGGCAGCAAGGACTCCGAGACTCCAGGACTCCAGGTTTAAAAACAACAAGTTTCAAGTCATTAAATCTCATGATTTTTTTCTTATGGCAGATCATAAGTTAACAAACATGTTTAGAGCTTTTGGACACTACAGACCTGAAAAAACAGAGATATAAAGCCAGAGTCCTTTTGAGGCTCTGTATCCCTGATTAATAGTAACTAATCCTTTGATCATTATGAATTTGTTTTAAATAATACTAATAACATTTTAACATTAAAATATTATTATTATGTTAATATTTTAATGTTAAAATATGAATTTGCTACACCATGTTGTAGACTCAAAATGTAGTTTTTAGAACATACAAGTCATTCAATAAGTATTTTAGGAAATGGTTCAAAACCTACCTAATACCTACCTTTTTCTTACAAGAATAGATAAACTACTGTTTTCTTAGCAGTTTAAAAACTGCTAAGAAAACAGTTTGACTATCCTTATAAAGAAAAAGCTTTAAATAATACATACTTATTAAAGGAGTTGTTATAAAATATATTTGTTTAAATAGAATATTTTGCTTCAAAGTAGTTTCATATAATAAATATTGACAGTATTCCCCCTTTTTTTTAAAAAAAATAATTTCAAGCTGCATTGCCTAATAAATAATAGTTGAACTTTAAAATGCAATATTACACTTTTGAAGGCAATTTCTGAAGAATGTTTAAGCAAATCAAGTGAGTAATGAAAAATCTTTACAACTTGACCACGGCTATTTTGATGTTTTTCAATTTAAATGCAATAAAAAAATTGTTACGTTATGAATAACTTTTAACCGCTGATCTTTTCTTAAGTTTTTATTTTATGTGAAGGCTTTAAATAAAACCATAAAATTGATTATAATGATTGTTTACATAAATGCATGTGTAAATAAAAATTGTTAAGTAACTTTAATTTATGAATAAGCTCAAAACCTTTTTTGACTATTTTATGTGAATTATGCAAGAATATAAAATAACTTTATTTACTTATGTAAGCAAAGTAATCAACAAAATAAATTTGTTGATTAATGGAAAAGTTTTAAAGCATTTTGTAAAATTTATACAATTAATTTTTATAATTAAACTTACGATTTTTTTAAATCTTTTAAACAAACATTTTTTTTTTTTTCAATAACGATAGGAATGAATGAGTTTAAATCTTTTATAATAATTTGTTTTGTGAAGCGTTTATTAATGCTCAAATTAAAATTAAATTAAATTGCTTGTTGGCAGTTTATTTTATTTAAATCACAGGCTCATTTTATTTTTTAAAAAAGTTAAAAACCTTTTTTTTTAACTAGACTTACCAATTAGAGCATGAAATTAATTAAAATTATTAATTATTAAAATTAAAAATTAATTATTAAAATTATTAATTATTAAAATTAAAAATTAATTATTAAAATTATTAATTATTAAAATTAAAAATTAATTATTAAAATTAATAATTATTAAAATTATTAATTATTAAAATTATTAATTATTAAAATTATTAATTATTAAAATTATTAATTATTAAAATTATTAATTATTAAAATTATTAATTATTAAAATTATTAATTATTAAAATTATTAATTATTAAAATTATTAATTATTAAAATTATTAATTATTAAAATTATTAATTATTAAAATTATTAATTATTAAAATTATTAATTATTAAAATTATTAATTATTAAAATTATTAATTATTAAAATTATTAATTATTAAAATTATTAATTATTAAAATTAAAAATTAATTATTAAAATTATGAATTATTAAAATTATTAATTAATAAAATTATTAATTATTAAAATTAGAAAATAATTCATTAAAATTATTAATTATTAAAATTAAAAATTAATTAATTAAAATTATTAAAATTAACTAATTTAAATTTTATTTTTTTTGTCTCTCAAGCGTTTCAGTTTTATTGAGTTCCTCTCACATTAAATCCTGATACATTTTGTGTGTGTATATGCTCAACAAGCTAAACCAATGAATACTACTAGTGTAAAAATTCAAATGAAAGGTTCGGTTTTGTCAAATATGCTAATCAAAGCAATTTGTAAATGGGAAAGTTTTATTTCACCAAAAAGGTGCCACAGAAATGGCAAATGAACCCCCATAACCTCTGATTAATGCAGCACAATCATTAGAATAAATAAAAAATTTGTTAATTAGTTGTTTTTTTATTGTTATTACTTATTTTTATTTCATTGTTTTTATTGGTTGTTGTTGTTTTTTTAATTAAGTGTTGTTTTGCATATTTGATTCTTCTTAAATCTTAGTGTAGAATGAAATAGCAATTTTTTTCAATTCAAATAATGATAAAAATAAAATTTTTATTTAAAAACAATTTTATTTAACTGATTTTTTTTATATGAAGCTTGTGAAAAGAGTGTTAATGGTTCAAACAATGTTTTATAAGACAACTATAGAGGATAAATACATTTGGTTTGAATCCACAGACTACTCTTTTATGTGCTTTTGTTTAGCACCGCTTTGCTATATTACTTTTCTTTTTGTTCTATATCGCTCTCCTTCATCTCAAGACTGCACTCTTTTTAATTTTTTTTTTTTTTTGATAAAATTGACCAAGCTCTTTCTCTTTATCCTTCAGCCAATATCGTTGTTGGTGACTTTAATACTCATTACACTGAATGGCTTGGTTCTAGTGTCAGTGACTCTGCAGGTACTAAGGCCAACAACTTTTGCTTTTCTCAATCTCAAACACAAATAGACATTTATCTAACTCGCATTCCAGAAATTACAAATCATTTATATTCTCTACTCGGCTTATATTTTGTTTCTGATCCTAGTCAGTGCTCAGTTTCTTCACATTCATTCTTAGGTGTTTCTAATCACAGTTAGATCTTTATAAAACAATCAATTCATTCTTCTTCTTCATCAGAATCCCCTATCGTGGTACCTTTTACAACTACCTTAAAGTTGACTGGGACTCTTTCCATGATTTTTTTTGTGATGGCGCTTGAGAATAAATCTTTCGTCTTCCTGCTTTACTGTGACTGTTCCTAAGTGCTCCAAAAATTCTTATTCACCTAGTTTTTTTCCCAAACATCAGTTTTTTGGAATTCGCTCCTCGTCTTGACAATTTATTGCTTTTAACAAAAGCTTTGTGCTGCTTAGAAACCACAAATTTGCTCGAACAACTGCAGCAGATTGGCATGAAGTTGAAGCTGTATGGAAAAAAAAGTAGTTGATACCTGCATTTAAGAAGAACGCAATGAAAAGTCATATTATGGCTTAACAGCTGTGCCAGTCAAAAAAAAATGTTCACCTTCTTACATAAACAGTGATGAAATTTCTGCTAATAGAATTGAAATTAAATATTTTGAACTGGGCATAAATTTATGTCTGCAAACAACTTCTATTAAGGTTAAAACATCAACTGGCAAAGGTTACAACTTCAATGACAACCTTTTTTTAGGCTTAATAGTCATTTAAAAATTATATGCTCTTTGCAGAGGGTCACTAAGTGTTCCTTCATTTTCAAATAATAATAGCACTTCCTTTTGAATTTTTACAGAAATGCCTCACATTGAATTAGCATCCTGGGCAAATGTGCTTTTTTTAGTATATTCATCTGAAAATCTAGAAGTTTTTTTAAGAAAAAAAAATAGATTTAGATGGATTGTCAGAAAAATCAGAAACATTTCAAGAGATGTCTCATTTAAAACAGAAAGTTCAGACTTTAAGCTAATAATACTGTATCTGAATTTAAATCGTCTAACTTTTTAAGTAACTCAACTTTTTGGGATTTTATTGAAGACAGAACTCTTATTAGCTAATATATTGCAACATACTTCTATAACTCTATAATTTTTTTGGTAATCATCTGAATTGATTACCAAAATTGTCAGAAAAATTCTTATCCTAGCAATAGTAAATGACTAAAAAAAAACTTTAAAAAAAATCTTGTCTTTTATTTCTGATTGTTTGCCTTTATCAAACTCCTGAACTATTTTTCTTTCTATATACTATTTTTTATATTGCACTTCAATAAAGACCAGTTGCACACCATTGGCTAAACATGACTGTTGATTTATAGGTAATAATCTGCCAACTTTTTACATCACACTTGCTCCATCAGTCATTATACAAATAATATCTTTTTGCAAACCAAATCTATGTTCTGCTAACTTTTGTTCTAATAACTTAATATACTTACCTGTAGACATTGATTCTGTTATATAATCATCCTAAAAACCTAACAATTTGTATTGTAAATTATCATTATTGTAGCAAAATTTACTAATTGATGTCCATTCATCAAAAGATAAATCTTTCTCCTACACCAAATTTAGACGTTTTTTCCCCCGGCTATTTCAGTAATTAAAAAATTATTTTGTTTTATGCTGTAATCCAAAATCGTTTTATACACAGTATGACCACTGTGGGTAAACTTTTGAATTCTGTAGCAACATGACCTGTGCATATGTAATGTAAAACATGTAATGTAAAATGAAATCTGATCAAGAGCTATTAATTATACAAGTTATTTATCAAGAGCTATTAATTATGCAGGAAGTGATTTTTCTTCTCACTTTAGTATTGCAAACAATTGATAAAAAGTTTTGAGTTTTTTTTTGTTTGTAGTTTATCTGAAGTTTTAACTGAATTAGTAGCTGGGGTAAGTTTAACTTTATGGACAGTAAACAGGCGCATATGGAGACCTTTTATTGAGCAACCTCTAGTTTTTAGGTTTCTTGTTGCAAACCTTTTTTATTCTAAGAAACAAAAGAAATTTGAAAAAAACTAGAATAAATTGTAATCAAATTTTGTAATTGCAAATTACAACATTCAAAAAAAAAAAATCAATTTTTTCATTTTAGGATAAACCAAAAATTGAGCACTCAACACCTGGATTGAACTTTATACCTTTAAATTGAAAATTTTAATTTTTTTTATTTTAAGATTTATAATCGTATTTGTCATCCATTTTCAAGCTAAATAAAACTAACCCAAAAATACTTAGACAAAAAATTATATTCTAAATTAAACACATTCTGCAATAATAAATTCATCAAATTGTGTATATTTTTATCATAAGTATTTTTATTTACTTTACCTCTCTGCAATTTCAGGGTAATACATACTTATTTTGAACCTTTTTATTTGGAATCAAAGAGAAACATTTTTCACTAAAGAATACTTCAATGGGAATCTTTTCTGTGATTATCTATGATGATTTGTGTGTATAATTTTTTAAACTCTATTTTATCTTCTGGTTTACTGGTAAAAAAGAGAGCTTCAGCACCTGTTTCAGTATTTTTATAAAAACTCTTTTAAAAATAAAGCATAATTAGTCGATTTCACTACCTAAATCCTTAACAAGCTATACAGAGTTATAGCTTCATTTAAAATGTTTAGTTTTAGAAAAAGAAATTTAATAAAAAAATATAACAGTTTCCATGACTAAATGTTATAAAGGCCATTTTTTAAAAACTGAAGTGATATTTGATATCATAAATTATACACTATTTAATAAAGTTTAATATATGCTATTAAATACTAGTATAGACTGTAATTCTACATAGAGATAGTAATAAGAAGAAACTTTTATATTATTTTTCAAGTATTTAATAGCATATATTAAACTTTATCTATACTATAGATAAAACTTTATTAATACTATAGATAAAACTATAAAAATTAAATTATATAAAAACTTCTTACCAGTATGCACATACAACAGTAAAAATTTTAAAAGATCTTGCAAATAATGATTCTGACATTTTTTCCTCATAAATATGAGCTATAAGTATTTTTATTTTATAATAATAAAAATTACTCAACTAGCACATAAATATGAAGTATCTATACGAAAAAGATATAAACATCGGACTTGGGGCCATGTTATAATTACTAATGCGTTAAATAAAAAGACGTAATAAATGCGTAAATTGTGTACTTAAGAAACTCTAATTATAAAGTTTAATAGAGCAGATTTCTAAAATAGATATGCAACCTTATAAAAAATGTTGGCTACTTTCACATTTTCAACAGTGTCATTTGTCTCTATTTTGTAGTAATCTATTTAGAATATGCATTTTTTTTGATTTTTCTAAAAAAATCTTTTTATTGCTGTAAAATTGCTGTATAATTGCATTTGCGTGGTTGTAAAAATGTAAAAAGTAAATAAGTTTTGTTTTGATATAAAATTTGTTTGTTAATGCTTTTGTTTATGCTTGACTAGGGTTGACAGACGACTGGCTTTTGCGAAAGAGAACACAGTAAAAAAAAATTATTTTTAGAGGTTTGGCACTGTATTCTCCTCCGTAAAAGTCAGACAACCCAATGCTTTTCAATTTTTCCCTTCGTTGTCCACAAATTACGTCACTGCAATAGGGAGGGGTAAGCAATTTTGTGACAATTTGTAACTGGGGGAGGGGGGATTTGATTTTGTAACGCCTAACCTTTTTTTTCAGTTTTAAATCTATAATTGATTAAAAGCGTGCCTAGTCTAGAACCTTGGTTGATGTATATCCACACGACTGCGGCTTTTCCAGTTTATTGGCTCCAGTTTTTCCTTGATCAAGCCAATTTAAAAAGAATTGACTTTTTAAATTGGCTAGATCAAGTTTTAAAATTTTTTTTAATTTTAAAAGTCAATTTAATAAAATTCATGAATTTTATTAGAATTGACTTTTTTAAGGTGGATAACCACAAAAAAACAAATTTCAGAACTATAACAAAACTTTAAAAACCACCATTTCTTTCAAATAAGTAAATATACTTCTTGCAACGTAAATTTTTTAATAGATTAATATAGATTCCGATACGTCCACAGCTTCATCATTCAATAATGTAGCAAATATATCATCGTTGAAAAAATAATTAATAAATGAAATTGACAAAAATTAATAAATGAAATTGAACCAAGTTGAGTTAAACTTCCACCAGTGTATAGAAGTCAGAGAGAAAAAAATAAATATTAAACATAGGTATAATAACGTAACGGCCAAGTTAAAATAGTTATTGAAATTTTGATATATCAAAGAACAAAAAAAGATATTTAAAAATTTGATGAGAGGAAATATTTTGAAAAAAATTTAGAGAAGATCTCACGCAAATAATTGTAGATTTTATTTATTTCACTTTTTTTTTAGGGAAAATCTTTTTCGTTAACTTTTCAGACAAATTGTACCCGAACCCCTTAAATAAACAATAACTAACATATTTGTTATATTTGTCATACATTTACAGATAAAAAACAGCTAATTTAAATCTGTGTGCGAAAGGAAAAGAGAGATGATTTATGAAATGCAGAAGTTATATAAAATAAAAATTACACCAGAAGCAATATAAAAATAGTGCAGTTGCAACTTTTTTGAAAAGTACGATTTCAAGCCTTGTAAAAAATTTATAGAAATTGATATCGCCTAAAGTATTTGTTAAATTAATAAAAACTAAATATTTACTCAAACTTGTGCCATATTTAACTTAACACTTATCAGCAATTTGATTAATTTTTAGCAGGCTAGAGTCGTGATTTCACTACGCGACAAAATTTTTGCTATTTGAACAACTCAACATAGTTAAGGCGAATTAGTAAAACTTGAATCGAAAATGTTTAAAAACGTCATCTTTGACAATCTATAACTTAGGTTTGAAATGAAATAATAAAAAAATTTATTTTTGTTTAATGCAACTAATTCTTCTTTTGTTTAAAAAAAAAAATCTTAATTTTTTTTTTTTTAATTTGTTAATACAGAATTTAAGTCTTTTATAAAGTCTCAGTTTGCTTCAAATTGTTTAAAATTAAAAAATTCCTTATTTTAGACATGATTAAATATTAAAGGAGAACTTTTGATTTTTAACAAAGTGTTTAAACCTAATAATTTTTTAAGTCTAAACCCATAATTTTTTACAAAGTGTTTAAACCCATTTCCTAAAAAATATGTTTTTTTCCTTCAAAATTACTTAATAAGTATAAGTAAATTAACAAAAAAAACGTTGGTAATTGTAGCTCTTTTTCTATTATTTCCGTGAGAAATACTCCATTGTTTAAATGTCTTTGCAAAAGCCAAAATAATTCAAGCACTGAGTTTTAAACTCACTTTGCAAATAGCACTTGAGAACTTGAGATTTCACAGGAAATCTGGAAATTAAAGCTAAATATGGGATTCCATAGTATACCAATTATATTAAATTATATAACATATATAATATATAAGTTTTAATTGACATATTACATTTTAACTAAAAGATTGCTTGTATTTCACAGTAAGATCTCAAGTATTTTAATTTTAAACAATCTAATTGTTTATCTTGCAGACCAGATATTTTACGGAAGTGTCATAATTATTTAAACTAATAACCGACGGCAATATTCTGAAAATTACGTACTTTAGAAAATTTCTAGAAAAGTACGTACTTTAGTAAAGAACATGTACTCAATGTATTTAAGGAAGGTATACCTTAAGTACATTGAGAAGATGTTTTTTATTAGAGTAATTTGAGATTATGACCTTATTTAGAAATGCAGGTATACGAAGCGTGTTTTAGGATAGAGTGGCTTTAGGATAGCAGTGATGACACTACAAACACAGACAATGACTTTTTAAAGAAGAGTTTAATTCCTCAACATCAAATATTTGCCTTTATTTGATCCAACTAGCATAATTTGCAAGCTCTGCGAATCAAACTAGACCTTAAGAAAAACTTTGTCAATGAATAAAGATAATCCAAGTTTTCAGCATATGCATAATATCCCAAGCATTAGGGAAGCTAAGTTGAGTGCTGGTAACTTATTTTTAAGACTAGGAAAAAATATAGTTTTAGGAATAGAAGTCTCAAATTACTGTGATACAACATTTATAGCTTCATTAACAGATCAAAAAGTTTGTCACTGCGTAACATTATCATCAATAAACCAGATTTCAGTGAATCAATGAGATTTCCTTGAATCGGAGAGATTTACTCGAATCAGTAAGATTTACTAGAGACGACGGTAAAATTACCATTACACAAACCGGAAACATATCACACAACTTATATTCTAATTAACAAAATTATTTAAAACAGCAATATTCATTATTTGTAATTTATACAACTATTAAAACGTTAAAAACAAAAATATGTTTATTATATCCTTAGCAAAACATTGATTACTTTAACAATGAAATATTTTAACAACAAAATAAATAAAATCAAATAAAAAACAAAAAAATTAAGCACAACACAAAATTATTTTACAAAAATACAAAAATAAAAAAAGTTTTGAGAATTAAAAAATCGATTTTTATAACATCAGCTTAATAACTCTTTATTTCCATAAACACGAACTCTCTGTTCATCTACAGTGTTCTGCCAATCAGTAATTTTGCGATACAGGTTGGTTATTGGTCTGTATTTTAGTTTAACAACAGGCTCTTTAAGCTTTTCTTGCATCTCATCTGATGTTACACTTAATTTAGATGATTTACATTTTGATTGAACAAACACTACAAACATGTAAACATAGAGAAAAACAATTGTTGATAAAACAAATATAATTATTACTTTAATAAGTAATGAATTACGAGCTTCAAACTTGCATTCACACTTTAAACAAAAGTTTTCATTTCTTTTCACAACATTTTCACAATTACAATCATCTGGTTGTGTTATTGTGTTTACAACAAAAATATTTGAGGTATTATTTTTCTCTTTTGGACAAATGCACTTGCAACGTAAATCTCCAAATTCACAAAATACAACCGTTGATAAATTTATACTTATTAAAACTAGTAATAATTGAGAAGCCATTACTTTTATCTTTACCTGAAAAAAAAATAAAGAAAAAAGAAATCAAAAAAAGCAACAACAAAAGTATACATATACAAGTGTAAAAAAGATTAGGGTAACCCAGGACAGAAGTTGAAGTTTAAATTTTGTACCTAGCTTATAAAACATGCATTCTGCCACTGCATTATTACAAAATTTATATATATATATATATATATATATATATATATATATATATATATATATATATATATATATATATATATATATATATATATACATATGTTAGGTCGAAATTTCCTAATATCATTTTTTTTTTTGCTCTTAAGGTAAAAATGTGTGCTTTAATTTTTCAGAAAAAGAAGAAAAAAAGAAGAATAATGAAAGGAAAGATTGCTGCTCCATCCCAAACTCTCAATTGATGTAGCAGCACTCTGCTGCAAGTCAATGTATCCTTACGGCACACATCAGCACGGGGGAACTGCTGCCCAAATTATTAAATTTAAATTATGCTGCGTCAAATAAACCCTGACTGTGCAATTTTCATTATTTTTAACAATAACAATATTATACCAACAGTTTTATTTAATGATATAATAATACATTTTTTAAATTATAAACATTGATTAGTGACATCTCTAAGAACGATTGTTGCTTTGAGATTTTGATTTTCATTATTAAGTGATGCGATTAAAAAGAAGTCTACTGTTTTTCAAGATTATGTAATTTATCTCTCTGTGAATTGACCAACTTTTGAGGATTATTCCAGCATACATTAATTATGCTTTTTATCATTTAAAAAAACTCCATTAAATTTTCTATATTTTTTCCTTTCTTCAACTATAGTAACATTAATTTTTACTCATATGTCAAGCCTTAGAGTGAATAAATTTGTTTTTCTCTTTGTTGAATACTTTTTATCTGTCTAGTTTTACAAATACTAAAGTTTGCAGAATCCAGAAGTGTAGATACCAGTTTTAGTGCAATTAGCTCTAATATAGCAGTGTATGTGGCCTCACTGATAAAATAAACAACAATTTAAGTAAATTTTTATCTAAATAACTCAATGTTTTGTCATTTCTACTTTTAATTTATAATTGATCAAAACTATTTTCATCTTACAAACTTTAATTGATATAATTTATTTTAAATCGTTTGACACATAAATCCTATAATCCTTTTTAATTCTGTTTAAAGTATTCATTTTGATTCCACTAGATTCTTTAGTTATTACTGCCAAGATACATAATCTTATAACTTTTTACATTTCAAGATTAAATCAAAGTAACCATTTTTTACCACCAATCATTCATTGACATTGAGTCTTTGATTGCAGTTTTACATTTTAATTTCAAATCTATTTAAGCCTAATTATTTTTTTTCTTTAATTAGATATTAATGATCATTTTTCATTCAAAGCTCTTTAGTTCAATTAGTTTAAACAACTTGCATAACAGGTATAATACAAGAGCATCATTGATTAAATAAAAATTCTACTATTTATTAGAATTAACGATGCTCTTGTTTTTTTTACTAAAGTAAATACCCTTTGACTTAATAGCTCAAGACTTTCTCGCCATGTTTCACATATCATAACAACCTGCAGTTTTCTAAAGTTAGATTCAAATAATAAATAATGGAATTATTGTTAGAAGATATTCTCGGTTAAATTTTAACCTTAACTTATGAATTTTAATATAACTAATATATATATATATATATATATATATATATATATATATATATATATATATATATATATATATATATAACTAATAACACATTTTATTGGAGACTAATTATTGGTATAAAACTCAAAAGTTAAAAAAACTGCTACGATTGGTACAAACATTGGTACTATACTTAACTAAAAAAATATAAAATATTTATAAAATCTTAATTTATTTAGATCCTAGAAAATTGTTTAAGACTAAAATAGTTTTCTTTTGATTTAATGAAAACTTTTTTCTGTTACAAAAGCCAGCATTTTGTATAACATATGTTATACAAAATGCTGGCTTTTGTTACATATGCAACTGCATATGCTACAAATGCATCTGTGGATGCAATTTTTAATTTAGATTTAACTATTTTGCTCGGACTATTACACTTTTTACCTACCGTTTCTATATTTATTGACATCGTATCTGAAATGTTGAAACAAAAGAAAAAGTTAGATAACTTAAAAATGACAACTGTAAAAAAAACTTACTGAATTAGAAACTAAATTTAAATATTTTAGAAAAAAAAAGTTAAAACTATTTTAGACTCAAAATTAGTCAGATCTCCGATCAAGAAACTTTAATTAACTCATTAACTACAGCAGTTTATTGCCATAAATTGTCTTTAATAGTACTAACATCAAGAATATTTGCGACAATAATTTCGTATGATGCAATAATTTTAAGCAAAATATTTCGGTAAAAAAAACAAACTGGCCGGAGCTGCTTTTTATGTAAGTCAGAAAAAAAAGAATTAAATTAAAATAAAACGTAGGCGTTTGCAGAAGATGCAAACAAGACTTTAAGCACTATTCAAGTTTAAACACAATGCACAGTTTTTGAATTGGGTAAATTTCCAAAGCTTTTAAAGTATGTTATAACAAAATTTTATTTTTAAAAACTAGCTATAGACTATTTACAATTTTGAAACCTGTTTACAAAAAAAGATGGCAAAAAGTTTACGAATAGTACTATTCGCCTAACGAATAGTAACTATTCGTTGAGCGAATAATACTTTAACGAATAGTAATTCGTTGAGCGAATAGTACTATTCGTTTAGCGAATTTTCGATGCTAATTTTTTTTTCATAACTTCGATTTTATCTCCATTTCGATTTTATCTTATATATAAGATTGAAGTTAAAAGAAAATGATTAACACCGAAATAATTAAAAATTTAGTAATGTCGAAAATTAAAAAAAAAAATTATGATTAAATTTTTTTCTTTTTAATTTTCGACATTAAATTAAACAATTTTTAAATTGTTCTACCTCTTTGCTAGTTTTTCGATACTATTCCTAAATCCAAATTTCAATATTATTTCGTATAGACATTTTGGATAACATTCCTTCTAAATAACTTTAGATAATAATTTTTTTTTCCGAATTAATTCCTTAAAATTAATTTTTGATATTAATCCCTTAATAACGTTTCAATAAAAAAAAAAAATCAATATTAATCCGTTCTTCGAGCAATTTTTTTTTTGGTACTATTGTGCATTTTTCAGAATATTTTTCTCAAAATTTCAGGAAATATTTATATAACTTTTATTGCAATAACTTAAAGTTATTATAAAGTTTTATAAAATTCCTGATATAATCTGGGAAGAAACAGCCGATGTTTAAAACCACAACTGATCAAAAGAAATTCAATACGTCAGCACTTCTTTACAAACCGAGTTACTAACCGATGGAACAAATTAGCTCAGAATGTAGTGGATGCACTGTGCACTTTTTTTAAAAACACGTTTAAAATGCTGCTTTGGCTGCAGCAATGTCCATTTTTAGCATAGGAAAACCTGATTTACTTCCCTTCATCAATTCAATTAAGAAGTTGTATTAATATCTGTAATAAATAAACAAAAAAAAATAAAAATTCATTTTTATGTTTCAAAATATGCGTTTTATCATCGTGTTTTTATTGATCAGCGCAGCAGTTTTATGCCCATTAGGGTTTTTAATTTAATTTAATATCCATAACCTAATGAAAATGTATATAGGGGGCTCTATGAAAAGATTGCGATGACGTTTTGTCATCTTCATCTTCTTTGAGCCCCTGTCTGTTTAACTCTTTATTTTATAAAGATCATTGTAAAAAAGTATAGTTTATTTTATATACTGTATATACAAAAACGATGCTTGTTGACAAGATTTTACTGTCTTCTTTGTTATACGGACATATTTCTTTCATTCTTGTATATATATGTGTTGATTATATTTGTTAAACAGCAAAATAAATGTAAAAAAAAAAAAAAAAAAAAAAAAAAAAAAAGTGTTCGTTAAATATTTCAAAAAAAATTTCAAATAATTAAGACCCACAAGCGAAAAATAAATATATTTTAATTAAATTTTTATGATCAAGTTTATCAATTTAAAAATTGCGCATTTTTTCAAAAAGCAATAAAACACCCACCCAGCGGGCATTTTGACGTCCTAAGGACGTCAAAATGGCCGCTGGGTGGGTGTTTTATTGAAGAAGTTTATAAGATGTCTCAAGTCTCGTCCGTATGACGGGTGTTTTATTGAAGAAGTTTATAAGACGTCTCAAGTCTCGTCCGTATGACGTCCTTAGTTGGTTTCAAATGAAAGACCTGAGGACGTCTATTACAGACGTCCTAAAGACGTCTTTTCAAGATGTCCTTGGGACGTTTATTGTAGACGTCCTAGAAACGTCTTTTCAGCCGTCCTATGGACGTCTCTGGCAGGTCTCATGTGAAAGACTTAAGGACGTCTTATTCAGACGTCCTAGAGACGTAAATTTACCTAAACACTCTATTAAAAGTTATATAAAAATGCAATGATATACAATACACACCTTAGATGGCAAGTGAAGGTATAAAGAGAAATCAAAGTTCATAAAGTGTTATTTCATATATTTAAAATGAATTATTAATTTTACAAAAACTTGGAAAAATTATTCAAACAAAGTTACACTTTCCAAATTAAAAACTAATATATTTTGTAAAGTATAATCGATAGTATATTATAAGTAAAAAGAAAATTACTGAAAAATGCAAAATAAATAAATAACTCAATAGTTGATTGAAGTTAATTAAGCCATGGTTGATCGATATCGATATTGGTGGATTTTCTCTTGAATCGGTTTGAAGAATGCCTAATTATTCTTCCAATAAGTTGCATGAGATCCATTTTGGTTAAGCTTTTATTTGACTTTGAAGCAGCATCTAATAAAAACAACAAGACATAGTTCAATAAGATTATAAAATAAAATACATGTAATGTTCCATAGCCAAAAAAATTAAGAAAATTTTTTTTATTATTAAAAGATCATTTTTAATTTTAAAAGTAAATTAAACACAATAATAAGCTAATAAGAATACCAGTGATAGCGATACATAGAGTTGTCAATTTTTTAAACTTTTTTTTCTTCTTTAGACCATTCATGCTGCATTCTGAAAATAGTGTCTGTTGTCAGTCTACATATAAAAAAGATGATAAATGTCATGCTGTCAAACATAAATGTTAAAATTCAAACTTATGCTAATTACTTACAAGAGCAAAACATTTTTAATTGTATCAACTGAATTTTTACCTCCAATTAATGATAACTGTTTTACCTAAAAAGAAACAATGTGAAAGAAACATTAAAAATGTTCATGACAATTCAAAAGAAATATTGTAATAATATAATATATAAACTATAAAGATGAATTTCATGCATACAAAAGTGATGTATTGGATATATCCATTTGCAATTTTTCTTTTCAAAACATTAACTTCATCTGAACTTTTAAGTTGTTTATAACCTTCTGGATCATTAAAAAACTGTGC